TCATCACACATCCTTGCTCTGTATTGTTTACAGCGTGTGTTATTAACCCTGTTAATTTTTCATTTACTCTTTCACAAGCCTTTACGGTATCTGTAGGATCTATACCTCGAAAATCAATGTGCTCAGACATTACCGTGGTATGAAACTCTGGTATTACGTTAACATGAACCTCCCCACCTGATTGTACGTTAACGGGGATATCACTTTGTTCAGTAATCTGTACAACACCCCCCACTTGTATGGTATCGTTACCCTCATTAGCATTGTCCCCCCGTGGGTCTGCCTCTGTGTGAACTATACAATTTCTTGAAACAGTTGTAACATTGTTGTGTCGATTTAAAACAGAGCTGTGTCTAGGTGACTCGTCATTTTGTGTATCCATTTCTATAGTTTGACTATTTATACCCACACAGTTGTTTGCTGGGCGTTGTATTGTGGGTTGAATAGTATCTTTACTTATTGACTGGTTAACAACATTATCAGCATTTGAGGTATTGTCTGATAGCGGAGGCCTTTCAGCTATGACATGGGTCGGTGCTATTAACCGTTCTGTAGCATGGGACGTACTTTGCTGATTTGTACGAATTAGTCGATCAATACACGGATACGTGTTACGCGTTGTTTGATAATTAGTACGATCTGTGTTACGTGTTGTTTGATAATTAGTACGAATTAAACGTTCCACACATGTATAAGTGTTAGAGCGCTGGCCATAATTAATTCTTATTTTTTTAGTAAGTTGAGAGGGTGAGGTAGCGTTAGGCCTTTTACTGTGCTTCATGATCGTATGCATTTTCGATGGCTTTCAAATGAGTAGTGTTTTCATTGATTTGCTCTATAGCAGCCGCTATAGACGTGCTCGCTTGGTTATCCACTTGTTCAATTCTATCAGCTATTGCGTTTCCAGTGTTTTTAAGATGTTTGATTTCTGTAGTCAAATTTTGAATTTGTATTTCCCCCTGTAAGGTTTTTGTTTCTAATTCTCGGTTGTGTATAGCGGCTTTCGTGTATTGTGTTTGTAATTGTAGGACCTCTCGTTGAAGCGCGCGTGTCTGTAGTTGGGCTCGTTGACCCCTTGCACGGAGTTTAGCTCTATGTATAGTTGCGTTTGTACGCTGATTTTGCAACACCAACACTTGTTTAGTAACTTTTACGTGCTCTGTTTGGAGATGGTGAAGTTGAATCTTTAACTGATCTATTTCGTTAAGTACACGGGCCTCGCTGTATTTTAGTTGCTGGTTCACAGTTGCTAGACACCTGTCTGTATGTATCTCTGCACTAACACAACGTGCCTTGCTTGACTTCAATTCCTCGCGTATATTGGCGAGCTCTGTTTTCACAAACGTTTTTTCACTAGTGGTGTTTAACAGATGTGTGTTTTCTTGTAAAGTATTCACCTTCAGTGTTAAAGCATTCTTTATAGGTCCTTTTGCTGCATCAGGAGCTGCTGCAGTGTGTCCAGATATTGGTTCAAAGTATTCCTCACGGTCCGGGAATGGTGATCCTGCGTTTAATACATCTTGATCGTTGTTTGGTATACCTTCATCGCGTATAATGGCATCAATGTCCAGTGTCGTTATAAAATCGATTATGTTGAAATGGTGGTTTACAGAGGGTTGATTCTCTGCGGCTTCGTCACCAACTGATGAGCTAAAAAATAGTGAGAAGAAAATTATAACCTCTATCATTATAAAAATTATAATATGTAACTCACCTTTTATCATCATCATCATCATCCCCGTGATTAGTTATTTTGTGTCCGTTACAACGTGCTAGAATTGCTCTAAAGAAAAAAAAATTATACCTCTCATAAAGCTTTTTATATAAGTTAGTATATGTACGGACTTACGGAGCTTTATGTTGATTTACTTGTCTTAATTTATGCATCAGGGGCATTGACTTGGTGTTTAATTTACCTGTGCTGTATAAAATGAAATAAAGTATTAAACATCTGATTAAGACATTAAGGAAAAATGAGATCTTACCTTATTTCATCCGTTGACTGTAGACCTCTCGTAACTTTTGCTGTTGGGGTTAAATCTTCATCGGTGTTATAATGTGTCAATAAACGACCCTTTCCTAGAGATAAACTAAATTAAAACATTTAATATGAATACTGAAAAATGTTATATTAATAACTTACCTGTATTAGACATATTGCATAACCTTCTCTTAGACAGCCGTAATGCGTTTGAACCATTGAAAAACTTCTGATAGGACGGTGTAACAGACCTCCCACCCATTCTGATTTGTTGTTAGTACGCCCTCCCAACCGCTCATCACGATAACACTATCACACAAACACACCTAAGTGTCGTTAACAGGTCCTCCCCTACAGCTTAGCTATTCCTAACTGTTTGTTTTAGAATAAACATGTGCTATGATCATAAATCACTTTAGACAACTGTGAAACATTATCACACACACACACACACACACACACACACAGGGTCAACAGAAGCTAACTCATTAAAACTCTTTGAAAAAAAAAAAACAGTGCAGTAACACTTTTTCACCACTTGCTCAATAGCGGTACCCCTATTCTAGGGAGTTTTAGGGTGCAGTACCACCTTTTCACCACTTGCTCAATACTGGTGCCTATACTATCTACTGTTGCCCTTCACACCAACCTAACCTCATTTGACGTTGCAACATAGATTAAAAACAAATCCTTTAACAATATTTTTTACAGCCAATTACCCTGACAACGACATCTATAATTCAAGCTAATTAGGTCGGAAAATGCAGAGATCTTTATAGTGCTGTGTTCTGCAGGAACCTCAGTGGAGAAAACAAGTTCATAATGTACATGAAGGAAGAGATCCAACATGAAGGCTCAGTGTCCGTCCAGCGCCGCGGGCAAAACTCTCCCTTTCTTGTGTTCCTGGTTGCAGCGTGTAATTAGTGTATTTGTAGTACAGGGATCTTCCAGGCCATAACCAAATGTGACACTGGAGTTGAACTGAACGATCCCTGTGATTGGAGCGTCACCAGGACCAGGGCGAGAGACGAGCGTAAAAAGCAGGAATGTCATTTCCTGTTTGCGTCTGCACTAGTGCTACTATTGCATCCCTTTACACGCACACGCACACACACACACACACACACACACACACACACACACACACACACACACACACACACACACACAGAGTCGTGACTGTGAGACGAGGCCTTCCAGAGCCCAAGTCACACAAAAGGTGGAGCTATTACTGTAACAGCGATTACCACGGACGCCAGATAAAAATAGAGCTTTCATTTCTGTCAGCACAAAGCATTACAGTAAGAGGTCAAGTCTGTGAGGGAAATGTTAGTTTAATTGATATACTTAAAACAACTGTTCTACAAATTGTCTGTATTCTAGTGGAAAAATATTGCCTATTTTTAGTATTTCTTTTTATGTATTTGTAAGCTCCAGAGATGACATAATGAAGACAACCCTCGATGAAAAGAGGTGAGGTATAGGGAAGGCTATCAGGGACTTTTATTTCAAATTTCTCCACACTTTGTAGATGGAAGATGATTTGTTGTGGCGACCATAGAGAAGTATTGCTGAAATGATAATAAAAAGTGTTTTTTCTCTATAATACAGAAATAAGTAACTGTCAAGAGCTTCACAGAGCAGCGCTGGAGATGTCACTTTTTATCATGAACAAAGCTAAACTCGTGGTCTGATTCACTGAGGCTGCAGTAAATACAGCGGGATGGGGGTTTCTTACAAGCTCAATGTAAGTTACAGCTGAACTCTTCTTTAAAACGTAACAGGCACAAACACAGATCCTACATATTCGGCTGATATTTTGAAGGAAAGTCTGTGATTTAACTCCCAGGCCATCGCTCAGCATCTGCAGTGTCAGTCGATAGCATATGCTGCCTTGCATCGCAGCTGTTGTGGCCCGGAGGCCCATCGGAGGCATTATAATGTCCAGCGTGAGGGAAGACATCCAGATTGTCTGGGCTCCTGTAGGAGGTTGTCTGTGCATTACGAGCGGTCGAGTGCATCAATGAAATGTAAAGGCCATGGAAGGTCCTTTTGTGACCCCAGGAAAACAAGGCAATCAACAATACTGTGACAAAGTGTGTCTGTGCAATGCAGAATCATCAGCTTGGATTCTTTTGCTCCTATGAACATGCTGACGCTATGTTCATGCTGACATTTCAGGGATCATTAGATGCTATTCAATAATATAGTAAGTTTTTTGTATATCACCTTTCACAAACCAGGATCACAAAGCACTTCACATTTAAAAAGATACAAAAAAACACATACAAATCAATTACAAAAACCAGAATACAGAAGCATGCATCATCACATGCAGATACTGTAGGTCTATGTCAGGTGAGGGGGAAAGCTTAACCTAAACAAATGAGTCTTAAAATGGTCCATAGAATCCAACATACGCATTTGGAAGCTCATTCCAAAGGTGAGGAGCAACATCATAGATGCATTTAGGTCTTCGAATAGAAACCAGGATTGTATTTGAATGGCAAAGAATGCAATTATTTAGTTTCTCTTGAAACAAAAATGGAACAAAATGTAAACAAAAAGAAATATTTTTCAAATATATTGCAGGTTTGTATGGAAGCCCGTTTCCGCCATGTAAAGAAAGAAAAAAAAGCCTACAGAAACTCATAATTTTGAGTTTAAAACTCTAAATTTTGTGTTTAGATTAAAACTCAAAATTTTAAGTTTTAAAGTCGTAATTATGAGTCTAAAACTGACTTTAAAACTGGAAATTTCATGTTTAAAACTCAAAATTATGAGTTTCTGTAGGCTTTTTTTTTTTTTTTACATGGCAGAAACGGGCTTCCATAGGTTTGACAGAAAGAAGTTTGTGCAAAAATTAAAAACACATTTTTTTTTCATGTGACTCTTCCACTGGAAGTGAATAGTTGTACTACAGGTTAGAACTCTTTACTAAAAAAAGTACAAGACATTTTCAACATACAGGATATCAAAAATCAAATTGCTGTTTCAATGTTACCATACAGCTCTAGATTCATCTGTGACGGCACTGTGGACTTGTTTGGTGCAGCCCCATGCCTGGATAAAATGTAGGTCTTTGTGCCTCATGTATTCATGATACTGCAAACTGCCCGGTGATTCATAACAGATTCACATTACTCATTCTCATCTCGGAGGGTCGCATCGGACAGCAAAAATTAAAAAGATGTTTGTTTTTTTTAACCAGGTCTTGATCATTAATTTTAATGTCATTATGACTTATTCATTTCCCTAATGTCAAACAAATGCTGTCTGTAATCCTCAGAGTGCTCAGCATGTGCTAATCTTTGTAATGAATTCAAATCTCTTTCTTCCCTTTTGCCTTTTCTTTCTGAGATTATCACATCAACTTTAACAAACATGTAATAATCGGCCCATCTATTTATTTGTATGTGTTTTTTACTTTTCTGTTGGTGGATTTTTTTTTCAGCAGTGGCTCTGTGGTGTGTTCAGAAGTGACTTCCCCGGACAGTGACTATTGAGTTTATACGAATATACCTCAATGTGGACCCAACTGGTGGCCAATGTCAGGCACCAGCGACCCATATGCTTAAGTTCTGGTCCTGTCCAGCTCTGGCGACATTTTCTACACTTTAATTAAAGTTACAGGGAAGGTGAAACACTCATGAACATTAATCAACACTTATGGTTTTATTCTCTGATCTGTGCTGGCGAATTCAACGGTTTTGTTAAGTCCTCTGAGAAAACATGCACAGTTGTGATTTAGGGCTATACAAGAACAAAGTGAATGGAATAACTTGGTTCTGAAGCTCTTGGAACCATATCTGGGATCGTTTGTAGCCTTTGCTGTTAACTAGCATGTCGTTTGATTTGATTTTGAAATGGAAATCAATTATTCTCTGACAATGTTTAAAACCAGGTTAAAGACAGTTCTGTTTAACTGTGCATACAACTGAGGGATTTTATATTTTTATCTTTCTTTTTAATGTTCTGTGATAATTTATGATTTTAATGCTTTCTTGTTTTGTTCAGCACTTTGAATTGCCTTGTGTATGAATTGTGCTATATAAATAAACTTGCCTTTCCTACCTATTCCACCATCACATTTTCTTTGGATCAGGGATATTCTTTCGTTTAGAGAACATTTCATATTTGAAAACATTCACAACAGAAAGATTTGACAGATTTGTTTTTTGTCTTTTCAGTATGTACAACCTTGATTGTTCTTAATCACTTTTTTGTTTAAATTTATAGTAACTCTGTAAAGGATGTAGAGCCGTCTCAGAAGAAGCTAGAGTATTTGTGCTTTTTGCTATTTGTGTTTTCTTTGAGGGATTTTTATTTATTTATTTTTTCTATGTTTATCCTGTCATGTCTAACCATGTTAAATCTGAATTATCAGACTGGATTATTGTACTTAAAAAAAAAAAAAAAAGTTATTTATCAGCTTCATAGTAATTATAAATTATAAATTGAAATCATAAAAAGAACAATCGTTTGTTTTAACTAAATAGATAAAACCCTATTCCCCCCCCCCCACTCCTGGCTCTCAAGAGAAAAAAAAAGGTTTGCGAATTCAACGGTTTTGTCAAGTCCTTTCGAGATGACTATTGTTCTGATTTAAGGCTATACAAGAACACATTGAGTTTAATTGAATTAAAGCAAAAAGGGTTAAATACAGTAATGCTATTCAAAGTAATTGGAACGTTGAGATTTTTGCAGAGCATAGTAACAAGAATAGCAACATGCATCACACAAACCCGTCTATTTGTGTCTCTTTCAAGACATTACAGCCATTTTGTGCTTCAATAGGCTTGACTTCAAATGATATCAGCATATTTAAGAACTGCATTAAAATGAGCTGGGGAAAGGCTCAGAACCATACATTTGCTATTTCTGTGCAATGAAACCATTCAACCACAAAGACATGAGCAAGTTCATGGAGCCAACATAGACAAATAAAAGGATAAAACTGTGAATTTTGACACTACTATAATAATAATAAAAAATAACAATAATGCATTGTACTTACATAACACTTTCTGAACGACGCTTCACATTGGATTACTCATTCACTCTGCACACTACTATAGCCAAATAGGAAGCAAGGCCCCCACCAATGCGCACAGAGAAGACTCATACTCATAACTGTAACTGTGAATTGTCCATAAGGTTTGGCAGCTGTGTGTTCCCAGAGGTCTCCCATCACAGAACAAATCAAACCTGTTCGTTGTACGTAGGTCTGAGTGCTGCTGCAGCTCTCAAAAGCCATGCATACACTGTCAGCTGCAAGAGGCCACACTGAGGAACAGGAGCACATCTGCGCTTAAAGTCACTTTTATTCTAACTTTGAATAGATGTAACTGTCATGTTATACTATCAGTTATGTAGGTTGTATATGATGTTGTTGGAGTAAACATCAAGCCCATGAGACGCACACATACGAAAAAAAAGAAAACATGCAAAATTGAACATCTGCAAAACAGCGAGGCCACGAAAGGTGAATCGCGTTATATTCAGGGACCATTGTAATGTATTTATTGGTGTTAGACTACTGATTTTCTCTTACCGGAGCTCAATAGAGTATCTATCTATCTATCTATTGGTCATCCTGCTACCCTATTCTTTTTATTGCATTCCCTGCGTTGTTATTGTTTGATTCTCTAATCTATTGTTGGCAAATTGACAATTTTGTAAAGACCTCAGAGATGACTGATGTCGTCAATAATCAGGCTTTCACGTGCACTTGTGGCCGTGTCAAACATTGCTTTAATAACACACAGTGAGCCTCCTATTGAATTATACATAATCCGATTCCAGAAAGTGAAGGTCACAGAGAACCCCATAGGCAAGTCAACCATCAAAAATGTATAAATGCTGAATAGATACTTACAGCCCACCATCATCATGGCCACAGAAAAGATCTTCTCTCCATCGGTGGTTGGTGCAATGTTCCCAAAGCCGATGGTGGTGAGGCTGGTCATGGTGAAGTACAGGGAGGACACATACAGCGTGTGTTTGTTGGGACCTCCTTCCCACCTCCCCGTGCCGCTGACGTTGTAGCGGTACGGCGCTCCGATGCTCTCCGACAGCTGAAAGAGCCAGCTGTCCTTCTTCAAGCGGTTGTCGTCGAAGATCTCGTAGTCCCCAATGCTGTACCAGATGCAGGCCAGCCAATGGGCCACCAGACCAAACACACACACCAGCAGAACCAGGACCGCCGCTCCGTATTCCAGGTAGTGGTCCAGTTTACGAGCGACACGGCCCAAACGTAGCAATCTGACCACTTTAAGGGAGCTGAAGAGGCTGCTTAGACCCTAGGGAGCAACAACAATAGGGTTTATGCCATAGACTGCACATCAAGAGGTCACACATAGATGTCCATCCCATAGTTTTAGCCTTAATGTGGAAGAGGACGATTAGAGCAATAGCTTTGAGCAGGACTGTGGAGCCAAATGTATCCAAATTGTGTTGGTAGCCAGAGCCGAGTTACCAAGCACTAATCAGGAGATGCGTCTGTCCATACTCACTTACGCTCTTTGCTAACTAAAGCCAAATTCGGCGACAGAAGGCTCTTGATTGGTCAGTGGTTTAGGGTCATATCTGGATTGACAAAGAAAATATCACAATATAAACACCAGGATCAAAGAGAGTGCTAAACCATGGATTGTTAAATTGTAAAATGTTAAGTGTGACACAAACAATTACTGAGCTAGAAGAGTTTACTTTTCAATGTAAATCAATAGTAGCCAGAGCGAGTTGGAGCAAACCTTTGTTCTTGAGCACTTCCCTTTGGGGCTTCATTGAGCTAGGTGGTTAGCATAATCCATCTACAGTATATACAATGCATGTGCACAGAATATCTCATACAGTTTCGAGTTGCTATTTGTGATTTGTGAAAAACCCTCACACAACCTCACGTGTGATTTTCTGTCTGACATAGCGGTGTTATGTAAAAATAAAAATACACCAGAGCCAAGTCAGCTAGTCTAATAACAGAACTTTAATCTTGCACCAGGCATCGCTTAGTGCATCGGATGAAGCAAACAATGTGAGTGACCTCAATATTATTTACCATTTTGTCAACTAATTATACATATTTTACTATTTTTGCATATTGTTTTTTCTTGGCCTAGAGTGCGATGAAAGTGGACAGAAATAGACATAATCAAATAAAAATAGTGTTGTCTTACTGGGAGAAGAGAGTCTTCAGTTCTTGTGATGTTCCTGTGAATGGCATTCGGGTCCCGCATGTTTCCAGCTGCAGCTAAGCTTGTGTCCTGTAACACCAACAAAATAATACAATTTTTATAATGATTATCTAAAGTAATCTGTTTGGAAAAAGGAGTTAGGGAGGCACGACTTTGGCAAAATATCTAATCGCAATATTTCTGTCCCACATTACGTTTTTGATATCCTGTATGTTTAAAAAGTCAAATTTTGCTCAAAGGAAAAACATATTCTTTATCACTAAATGTAATTGAGTTCCAACCAATAGTACAACCAGTCCTGAGTTGTGAACATAGACTGTATATTAGGAGTGGACTGACCGCACACTGACGTCCCCTTTAGTGTCTGCTGAATGCTAAAGAAGCCAATTGGAACACAAGCTACAGTAGCTGCAGCCATTTTCCATATATATCTGTATATTATTGTTTTTACGCCGTTAGCTTTGTGTTGTAACGAGGGCCGACGTGTTGCCAAGTTGGTTGCTAAGGCAAGCTGGAGTTTATCCCTTGAATGAAGGCATTGGATTGACCAATTTGACTCAAGTCTGTGATGTGATGAATTAAAATTGTAATGTATGTCTGATAATGTATGGTAATGTATCCATGTACTTTTATTATACTGTTTTACAGCAACCTGCTCAGGGACTACCGGTGTAAATTAGCACTGCTGCTAAAACCTGGTACAATGCATCTCTCCTTCTGGCTAATGTTTATTGTACACTGTCCCTGTAAAAATAAAAACCATACCATACCATACCAAGTCTGGATTTACAAAGACACAATCAAAAAATAAACTGCAGGATCATAGATAGGCTGCTAAACTACGTATTTTTAAGCCCAGAATGGTGAGTGCAACATGATTGGGTTTATTTTTCCATATAAGTCAATAGGAGCCAGAGCGGGTTGGAGCAAAACTTTGTCCATGAGTGCTTCCCTATTGTGCGTCATTGAGCTAGGGTGTTGGCAATGTCCATCTGTGTACAGTCTATGGTTGTGCAACATAATATTCTGCTTGACAACGCGACAGAAGATACTTGTTCCTGTTCCTATGACAAATTTTCTAATTATCCTCATATCAAGACAACTTTTGCCAGATCTATTGGTTGTTTTTGTTTATAATTTAGATTTGCTTGCAAAGAACAAAAATTATTCTGGTCTTTTTGATTTGCTAAATGCAGCCACAAAAATTCATATTTCAACTGCGATTAATCGTGTAGCACTTGCATCGTCCACGTGCTCAAAGGCGTTGATGATGTCGTAGGGCAGACAGGACAGCAGGTCGATCACAAACCACGTCTTGAGGTAATTCATTCGTATGAGTTTGGCGTCGGACACCACCTCCCCAGACGGGCCGACAAAAGTGGTGTGGAAGTTCAGCACAATGTCGACCAGGAAAATCACATCCACCACGCTGTCTAAAACCAGCCAGATGATGTTGCTCTGCTTGTTCTTGAAGGAGACGTTGTAAGGAACCATGATGGCCGTGTAGAAGGTGAGGATGAGGATGACCCAGTCCCAGGTGGTCTTAAAGGTACAGTAATGCAGGATGATGTGGGGTGGGGTCTTGGGAGCTTCCTGTTTGTACTGAGGAAGGATATCGGATCCCAGTTGAAGTGCCTGCAATAGACAATCTTGTAAATATCCAATGTTGAAGTATTGGAGAAATAAATGTTTACGAATCCAAACCTCGGCCAGTCGAGACGGCTTGTGGTTGACTTCTGCTTTATTTATGGGGGTGAGTTGCTGCACTGCGTTTCGATTGCTGGCTATGGCTCGGGTCAGTCTGGCAAACTTGGTCCATCCTGAGAGAATAAAGACAGTATTTGTAATGTGAAATTACTTTCTGAGGAACCAAAACAGTCATGTTGTTCTATTCTATCCATGTCACACCCAGCTGAATCCTATTCCACTAGGTTTATACATTAAAAGTCATTTGAATTGGAACTGGCTTCATTTGGAAACTAATTTCAATTCAATTAACTTCTTTATTGCTTTATTGACTTTACAAAAATATCGATCAACAGAGAATAAAACAGTTTGAACACAGGAAATGCAAGAACAAAAAACACATAGGAGCCATTGGTCCATAGGGAGCGGGATGAGCACTGTCCATAAATGTGCATAAATGTCTACAAATGTCCTCACGGGCCAGACTTTGGACATGTCTGCGTTTTTAATGTAATTGATCTCGAACAGTTTAGTTATAGCTTGTCCACACACACAAAATCCTATTTTCCCAAACGCAGCTGAAGAAGGATGAAACAGTGCCCAGATCAGATCAGACTTTGGTTTATTAATAACTTTCCTATTATGTGTATGCGCATTTTATATCTTTGATGCTGTCTAAAATGAATGGCTGGCACATTTTTAAGCCTTCAATCTACTGTTATCTCTAAGCTATCCTCGCATGGCTTGAGTGATTTTTATTTCTGCTCGACATACTGTAAGTTTAAGTCTCGGAGGGACTTGGCACAGTGCGAGCCAACAGGAGTGCACTGAACTGCATTAACACCTGGACAGCTGTGTGGAGAATAGAAGTGGCATTTGCAAAGGGACATGTTTCCTATGTGACTTTAGCGTGTTAAATTAACCATACGCTCAATGTACAAAATGTTTGCACCACCTCGTGCCACCGCAAGCTTGTCAGACACAAGAAAACACAGCTGTTTTGTTACGCATGTCTAATTCTTGTTTATCAAAATGATGCATAAACACCAACTCTTTCTCACCTTTCGTGGATTCGTCCTCGATCGGCTGTTTGAACAGAGTGATGTCCCTAAAGGTGCAGAGGAAGAGAACCACTTTGTCGTTTTCATTACGAATTGGAGCTATCTGCATGTACAGCCAGATCGGAGTCCCTGAAGTGAACAGATGAAAACATTTATACTGTATGTCCCACAGAGGGGAAACTTCAGGAGATACGTCAGTAATAGATCTCTGTGCAGAAAAATCTCAGGAGTAGATAGAAAAATACATTTGTCTGCTTTCCATTAGACATCACATACTCACTGTTTTTGGTGTAAAGCAGCACTTCGAAGAAATTTGACTCGTAGTTGTCAAAGGTCTCTCGGATTTTGTCAATCGTCACACTATCGGTCAAGTCACCAAACATGAAGCTGCAGTGAAGAAGTAGAATTTATTCACAAAGTATAAACAAATATCTGGCTTTTTCATGTATATATAACAATATTTTTTTGTCTTAAGAGGCATGTTAGCTTTGACACCCGGAAAAATATGTGTTACAGTTGTGTCTAATGGATCCACTGCCATGAAACATACAACCTCAGAAGATCAGCAGGGCCTAGTTAGTACTGGGATGGGAGACCTCTGGGAACACCAGGCGCTACAGTGGGGCAGTTGTGGCTGTAAAGTTCCTTAGCATGTGTCTGATGTGACTGAATGATGGTGGTCAGAGGGGTCGATAGCACATACTAGGTGTAGTTTATGAACTTGAAGTGTATGATTACTGCCATGAAGCTTGTTTGAGTGTTTCAGAAAGCGGTATATAAAACCAATGCATTCCTGTTATCATTATACTGTTGAATACTGTAGAATAGAAAACATGGACAATATGCACTTACATGGCAGATCTTAAAAAACTTCTGTATTCAGTCACTTCATCATAATGATTGCAAAGTAAAACATATGAATATGCAGCACTTTCTGCTTAATGAGTGTCTAAAAAGTGGGGCAGTCTTCCATATGCAGAAGACCATGTTAAAACAATGGTGTGAGGACAGTACATAGACACAGCGAGACGAATAAAGGTTTATCTTAAAATATCCTTATTCAAAACTTTCACTAAAGCTTTCATTATTCACTCAGGTAGAAGGTGAATTAAGGATTTTGTTTTTATATATAGGCATGCTTTGAATCTATTTGAGTTTCTTTTGAAAGGGAAAGAGTTCTTAGTATGCTGCATGAGATGAGTTGCTGAACCATGGGTAGTATGAATGTATTAAAAGATGAAGGTCAGTAACTTTTCAACATGTGAAGATGGCCCACAGGTTTGTGATTGGACCCAATGAAATCAAATCCTTAACAGACAGCTGAGGCCCCTCACCATTGGTCGAACCAGTCTCCTCCAGCTAATCTGACTGATTAGGCTTATTCCAAGGAGAGGGACTGTTTTAAATCAATCAATGATGAGCAATACTTAATATAGATGATATCACAGTGTTATATGGTCAAAAATATGCATTCTTTTATAAACAATTGAAGCTGCAGACATCGCATTTCGCCAATCTCATCATTATTAACGTGCATTTTGTATCCTCACTTGATCCTTGCACTTAAATCTTCACTCAATTTAATTCAATTTAATTTATTCTTGTATAGCTCTAAAACACAACAGTAGTTTTCTCTGAGGACTTCACAAAAACTTTGAATTCGCCATTACAGATCACAGTTCAAACACAAGAAATGAAATGATAAAAAACACATAGAGCCATAAGTTCATAAAGGGCGGATGACCAATGTTCACAAATGTCGATAAATTCCATAAATGTGGTTGAATGTTGAGTCAAGTGTCCAGGATCATCCCTCACTGTATGATCACTTACTTGCATGTGCTGCTTTTGTGCATGACTTCGGCTCGGTGGTACCCAGACAGTTTGCAGAAGCCGTCGTTACTGTACACGACCGGCCACTCCACAATCTGAGCATTTCCCAAAATGAAACTTGTCTCTGTAGCATAAAAAAAAAAAACAAGATGAGATGGTCAAAATGCAATTATTAAAGATGTACAATGCACCAGTGGGATTTGAAAGAGCAAGCAGAGGCACGGCTGACCAGCATTATGCAACTCCATGCAGTTTCTTGTCTCATACTTTCAACACCTCTATTATAAAACAATTGGAAAAAACAATACAGAAACATATCTATTGATTTTAATACATGCATTGTGTGGAGAAAATGTCCCAAAGCAGAAACAAGAAGTGGCCCTTTAACAGAAAGAGTTCATAAAAAATGTTTATGTTTAAATCTTAATGTTAATTAAAAATGAATGAGAGGCAGCAAAGTTCTCCAGCTCAAAGTGCTCACGCCTGAGAAAAACAGACGGGCATTCTGTTCGCAATAACAATAGGATGTGACAGCCTGTATTTAGTGCAATTTTCTGCAAATAATGAAAATATAACTGATCTTTAAATGACCAACTAGAAAGACCACACTAGTCACACTATGCTGATGTACAGTAGGATGACATAATAATATATTATAGACATACTGTAAAAAATAACTCTTTCCTTTTTCCTTAATGCTGCCTAACCTCAGTCTCTTTCTACACGATAGGCACTCTCTTCTTTATTCTGAATTATTATATGGGGCATATTTAGAGGAAATAACCAAAACATCGTTAAAAGTCTGCATTATTAAATCCTTATCCCATGTTAATTAGATCCATTTAACTCAATCACACGCATTTTTGTAAAAACTTAAATACACGCTGATAGTTGTTTTAAAACACTCACCGCTGGAGCGACGCACAATATTCTCCAGGAAGGTGTTTTGCGGCGCCACCAGCCCCCTCTTCCCCGAGTGCATCTCTGCTCGGGACCCGGGACCAGCGGAGCTCAGAGCGCATCTACCCCCTGCAGACCACGGACTGTGATAACCACAGCGCCCGCGTCAAAGCGCCGTGCTGCAGCGGCACGTCCGGGCTGCGCCTACACAATAAAACACTACACAATGTGCGTAGAGTTTGAAAAGAGTTCACGCAGTTTCCTGTGATGTTTAACCGCGGGTTTAACCATTTGAAACCTATCAAAGACCTCCGGAGCCATTATTCTCCCAGTTATGGGTTTGAGTTGGTTGTAATCTGACGGTTGTTACGTTGCAAAATAATGATGCTTTTCCAACATACAGTCTATAGTTGCACTGCAAAACACATACGTAAAAGGAAGGAAAAAATCAAAGGAAAATGATGTATCATAAGACCAAATCTGAAATAATATTTCTGAATGTACCATATGTATTACTTATTCATGTATGCATGCATGTATATATGTTTCATTCTCACGCGCTACAAAGCTCCCTTTGTGGATTGATGTGGTAAAGTTTGTGCGACCATGATGTTAAGTTCTAATCTAGACTAAACTGGAAAAAATGTCTGTGTGGCCTGTTGATCCGTGTGTGGATGTTTTAAACCGAGGCGGTTGACATGTGTGAATAATGCATGGACTAAAGTGAGTGAGAATGTGTTTAGTCCACTTCCAGCAGAGAGCGCCACCGTCTGCGGCTCCAGCAGAAGAAGTGCTCTGGTCCGCAGCAGGAGGCGCAGGCAGCGGAATAACAGACTGCTGCGGTTTGGGGCGATCACTGCTGATCCACGGTCCTGTGCACAGAGTGTGTGGATCTCACTGGTATGGACAATAACTAATGTTTAACGAGCCGGACTCTGTCCTGGTCAGGCCGCCGTGAGACCGCTGTGAGGCCGCTACAGGCGGTAAGAGGCGGGACCACAGTCTGTGGAGAGTGAGGGCGGAGCTCCGGGGCCTCGGGGATCTCTGCGTTCATCACTGGAGCCGCAAGCAACGCCACGTCTGTCCGTCTGTAACATGCTCTGACCACAGACTTCATCTAAGGGCCACTTTTCCATGAAGCTAGCGACAATCGGCTTCTTCCGGCAGAAGGGACGTCACAGTCCATCCGCGGTCTGACAGGTCACCGTCTGCGGGATCATGGAGAGCGACCTCGGCTCCAGGTTCGTGCGTCTGTGTAACTACCTCCAGCAGCCGCGTCTGGTGGCGAGCTTCCAGAGGCTGTGCGGGGTCAAGGGGACATTTGCGGACAGAGACAGAGACAGGGGCGAGCCTGTGGAGCCTGACCCCCGGGTTCAGAGGAGGCGGGTCCCGGGTGCTGCTGATGCTCACAGCGGGGCACAGGAGGACAGCGCCCCGGGACCAGAGGGACCCCCAGAGGATGAGGACACAGTCCGAGCCAAGCCCCTGCGCAGGAACTCTCTGACCGGAGACGTGGGGCAGGAGTTCCTCATCCACAACAAGTTCCTCTTCTATCTGTTCACTTTTGGGACAGAGCTCGGGAATGAGATGTTCTTCATCATCTTCTTCCCTTTCGTGCTGTGGAACGTGGACCCCCTAGTGTCCCGCAGGCTCATCGTGGTCTGGGCCTGGAACCTGTTTGTGGGACAGTCCACTAAGGACATGGTGCGCTGGTCCAGACCAGCATCTCCTCCTGTGGTCAAGGTGGAGGTCTTCTACAACTCTGAGTACAGCATGCCCTCCACACACGCCATGACGGGCACTGCCATCCCCTTCTGCCTCTTCATGCTGACCTATGGCCGCTGGGAGGTGAGGCCGACTGTCGTTCATTATAGATGAATAAATACACATTGTAGCGTCCAGTTGAGTTTAAAGTTGAAGCCAGAACTGATGGTTATAATGAAGTTTATTTTGTCCTTCCATATATTCATATAACCAACGTAAGAGCTAGAACAGAAATGAAAATCAACTTACAATCATGTCCAAATACTATCTAGCATCAAATACATTGTTAACCAATACATTACTTTTGCTATTTAATTTTACACATTTAAAGAAACTTTACAATTGTTACACAAATAAATTCAATGTAACGGTTAACAATGTATATCCTACTGATATCCTACTCAGTTGGTAGAGCATTGGCCTTAGAGCCTGAAGGTCGTGGGTTCAAGCCCACCATAAGACCTACTTCACGACTCCCACTGATGACTGCTGTCGTTGTGTCCTTGGGCAAGACACTTAACCCCACTTTGCCCGAAGCCCCCACTGAAAGATCTCAGCTCCTGTGGACTCACCACCTGCAGGAGGATCAGTGAGGGGCTGGTGCTCTGTGACTGGGTGCAGCTCTGACTGCCACCCCCCCAACCCAGAAATGGATTAAGGGGAAGAAAATGGATGGATGGATGGATGGATATTAATACAACAATCTTTACACACATCATCTCCTTGATTATATTAGAGCTGGCGTACCTACATTTTTCATAATAACAAGTTGTTTGTCTCAACAGAAAGAGTCTTAAAAGTATAATGATATGAACAAATCTGACAACAACACATTGTCTGTCTTCATTTTAAAGCATATTTTGCCCACTGTAAGAACCCTGTAAGGCACTAACTGACACTCTGGGCTGAGAACTGATTGGCTGAATGAGGGTGGTCCTCTCACTTTCACTTTTCTGTTTGAAAAATCAGATCTGAAGATGTGACAGAGGCCAGAAATACATGCATTTGAAAACTATTGATTGAACCAAACTATTTTGAGTACGAGGAACAAGAAAGATAATGTTACATGTAGTAAGATTGTTTGTACTTGGAAAGTTAAGGGCTCCCGCTTTAAGGGGTTTAAAATGGTTAGAGGACATCAGGTGCAAGGCCAGGTCAAATGAGGTGCACACATATTTGATTGTAATTATAAATGCAATGTTGTGGGAATACTCAAACAACATAATGCTCCCCTTTCTGTGGAGGTTAAGTGCAAAAATACTTTCCTAGACTTTTGCCTCCAGTGATGCCGTTAGAATCAATAAATCTTCACCTACAAGTGACATCACACTCCTTAACTCGGGGTAATATCAATCCCTTATTAAGCTTATTAAGATGCTGTGTAAAGAGTAAACTGTAGCAGAAAGTATATCTCCTGAAGTGACTTATGAGTGTGTGTCCCAGTTGTAGGTACAGAGAGGAGCGTGGACAGCATAAAACCTGTTGTATCACATTTTCACAGAAATACAGATAAGATAAGAAACAAAAACCTGAGCCATTTATCCGTTATAGCTTCACCAAATGTTGTTAGAAAAGTTGTGAGGAAAAAATATAATCTAATAAATAAGAAATATGTCTCAACATTGTGGCGCCGTGGCAAGAGCTCTGGTGTGTGTCGTCTGGTGCACACCGGGGTAGTCTTGCACAGTTTTTCCTATGTGCTTTTACTGCAAATGGCAAATAAATGAATCTGAATGTGAATCTGAATCAGATGTAGCAGTAAAGGATTATTATACAGTGACTTCTCATAATCTTTATTAAAGTAATACAAAACCAAAAGGTCCCTACTGTGACACAAAATAAAAGTTATCTTAATCTTTTATTTGATTATTTGAATACAATAAAAATAGCAAAAGTGATGGAGATGAATATTGAAGTCCCAGAGGCAAGGTTAAGCTGTGAGAAGTAGAGAGACAAAGGAGGGAGTACTTTTTTGACAAAAGGGGGAAGGAAAGGGAGGTGCAGACCAGCAGTTTTGTTTTTGCTGTCACAAAGTGTAAAAGATCCAGAGATTGTCTACAAAGGTCTGATCAACTTCTGTGCAGGTGATACAGTTTGTACCCAAGAATGAAGAGTGAGTCAGTGATTAGATACCAGCCATAAATGACAGCTATCACAAAATACTGTATGTGTGTGCTATGGCTAGTCACTCTTTGCTGTGGAAACCAAAAGTGACCCACAATGAACTCTGCAATCTCCAATTCCATGTATGGGGTTGTCAAAAAAAGATTATCAGATATATAAAATGTTGAAAGTAAATCTATTACAAACCCCACTTTTGTTGATATGATCTACAAGTCATGTAATACTCAGATTTACATATATTTGATTTAATTTAATGACGCAGTGAAGGGGTAGGCGTTTATAAATATTTCTTCTGCCTACTCTTTTTGATCTCTATTCAGCACTTAAACATTGTCTTTTTGTTTTAAAGCAAGGAAGGTGATTGTTGCAGAGGGTACGAGTGGCAGAAGGCTTTTTTGACATTATAGAATGTCAAAAAAAAGAAGGAAGTCTGAGGCACTCTGTTAAAGTGAAAAACTGTAACAGTCCTTTATTAAAATGGACTGCCTACGCGTTTCGACCAAAGGATTGTCTTTTTGTTGTTGTATCTATTGTAAGTATAGCTCTGACCTCAGGTAAACCATCTGATAATTTGGAAGTGCATAAAACATTGGTACATTGGTAACTTTAAAGCCTTTTTAAAAAAGGGCCGTTCTAAAACCATCAATGTGGCATACAATTTCTTATTGTGACAGACTCTGTAATGCTAGAATTCAGCAAGCAAACAGTCACCACCTGGCGCTTCATTCATTCATTCATTCATTGCATGTTATTAAATGGCTCCAATATTTCAAAAGGCGTTATTAAATCATGCTCTTTTCAAATACATCTTTAACTGATAACAGTAGTTCAGCCGAGATATTTTAATATCAAAATTAGTTTTACGACCCGTAAAAGTTGTTATTGTTTTCATTTATATGTCCCACCCTCCGCCGTTTCCCCAATCAGGAAGTCCGTGATCCGGGTTGCCAGAACTCCCCGCGGCTAATCTCACTGGTAAAGTAACATGTGGCCGCAGAACTAAAAAAGGTCTTGTTATGACTCTCAAATCATTAATGACAAAACAAAGACTAAAACGAGGATTCATATCGGAACGCATTTGAAAAATTTAGACAATTGAAGGTGCAAAAAATTCAAGTACCTGCCTGGAATCCTTAATCTTCTGTATGCAATGGTAGCCCAATGGTTAAGTTAAGAGTTTGGGCGAGATATGTTTTGGATTAAACTATATATGATTTATTCTATGACAGATTGCTCAAAAACGGTAAAAGGTAAAAACAAGCAGTTGTTTGCAGATTAAAGCTTAATTGTACTAAGAATAATTTGAGACCACATGTACCCCAATTATAATAATGTCTCTTTTTGATGTATGTCCAAAAAATAGGGAATAAAAAAAATCCACTGGAGGAAAATCCACTTGTGGAAACCCAGATGTTGATACGCTAAGAAGTATCAACAACATATAAGAAGTATGTTCCAACATCCATTCTTCCCACTCCTATTTTGGACATTGACTGCTTTTTTATTTTGCATAATCAATGTATAATTACATTACATTACTTTCATTTTGTTTTTCTCATCTCACATGTCTAAATAAAATAAAACACATTCATTCAACATTAGCACGGCTATCATGGCAATGTGAACGGAGACAGACAAACAAATGATAAAATAATTCCCTGTGTTTGCTGCTGGATTTGAGGTGTATCTGGCAACCTGAGTCAGGGAGAGTGGGAGAGGACTACAAAATATTGACTGACTGCAGTACCACTTTTGGCCAGATTTTTACATATTCTCCTTTAATAACATTTGAGAAAGTTGTTACAAAATCAAACTATATTCCAGTCGATAAAGTCTGGCATTATCCCCCAGTGTAGCATCATGTGCACGTTATCTTGTCCCTTGTACTGAAACTTACTAACTGTGTATAATGTTTTATTTTTACATGTGGAATCGAATGACAACAATAGCAGCAGAATAAATATGTATGTTTTCCCCACAGTATCCGTTTGTGTTCGGCCTCAGCGTGGCTCTGCTCTGGAGCCTCCTGGTCTGTGTGAGCCGGGTCTACATGGGAATGCACTCTGTCCTGGTGAGTGGCCGGCGCACTCAAAACCTGGAGAAGAAAAGCAGCTTCATATTACAACATGAGCTCAGAAAAATCTCCTCGCGCAATTTCATTTCATAAGATAAGATAGGACTTTATTGGTCTCAAGGTGGAGAAATATGAACCCGCCAAGGTCTTTAAGGTCAGATTGTAAACGTGAGTTATGATATGGTCAAGATCAGTAGCAGAAGAATAATGACGTAATCCGTGTGTACATGAAAGAAAACGATTGAAGGATTTTACTGTTTTTAGGTCACGGTGAACAGTCAGCATTTGAAAACAATTGTTAGATAATAATGTTACTTCTAAAATAAGATTTACGTTTGAGTGCAGAGTGCAGCTGGTAACATAATTAGCACATGAATCCAAACAGGAGACAATAGTCCAGTGTAAACAACAAAGAAGGTGGAAAAAAATCATGAATCAGGAAGACCGTTAAGATTTACACAGTTGAATTACAAAATGAGTGTTTGCATGAATAATGCAGTGAAGCGATGGTTGTCAAAATGCCTAATTGTGATTGTATTTATTTTTCATGATAAACTTTTAAACACAAACATAACCCTCACCATCTGCTTTACTGAACTTTTTGTTTCATATCCGCCCAAACCTCTCGTTAAAAATGATTGTAAACTTCTTGATTAGCTACAACTGGCGAACAGTCATACTGCAATTTTGAGTCTATTGTAGCCCTATTTTTTCGCTCGAGCAGTATGTTCCGCAGGGTTTCTTCTTATCAAAGAATGGGCTTTGGGTCACAGAGGTGGCGGTCTGAGCAGACACGCCCAGACTTCCCCATCCAAGCCGTCTCCCTTCAGCTCATCTGGGGAATGCCAAGGCGTTCCCAGGCCAGCAGAGAGAAGGAATCTATTTCACTAGATCGACTGAACAGAGAACGCAGATACATATAACCTGCGTTTACGCTTTTTGATTTTTGAAATGGACTAGATAGAATAGATTAACCTGTATGATGTGCTTGTTTATTACATATATGCTCATTTATAGGAGACTGTTTGAGTCTCTGGAAGGCTTGTCCAAACTCTTATGATGAGAAGGTTTCAATTGCAGCAACACATCCCAACAGCCTGATCTAGCGTGTATTCAAAAAAAGTGCGAAACGCTGTAAATAAAAGACAAGGAGCACAACATAGCTGTGCGGATTTCTCCTTTTTCAAGTTTATAAATTGATAAATGTCTATAAATGTTGAATGTTGTTGAGTGTCCTGGATCATCACCACAATTTTCAAACTCTGTTTATGTTTTCTGTGTTGTAGGAGGTGATCACCGGCTTCTTCTTCACGCTGCTGATTCTGGCCGTGCTGCAGCCGCTCTTGGAGAGTATCGACACGTTCTACATGTCGGGCCACTACGCTCCTCTGGTCATTGTGGTTTCGCACGTGGGCTTTGGACTGGTCACCTTCTCGTTGGACACTTGGAGCACGTCTCGGGGCGACACTGCGCAGGCTTTGGGCACCGCTGCTGGGGTCGCTCTCGCCACTTATGTGAGCTACCATCTGGGTCTGCTGGAGGATTACCCGCTGTCCTCCTTGCCTCTCGCGGTGCCAACCCTCAGCGCCGCCCTGGTGGTGAGATCTCTGCTGCGTTTTGTCTTGGGCGTGGCCGTGCTGCTCCTCACCAGGATGGGCATGAAAGCAGTGACCGTGCCGTTCCTGTGCCGGATGTACGGGCTGCCTTTGGACGACGTGCGGCAGGCGAGACAGCTGATGCGAGTGGAGCTTCCGTATCGCTACATAGTCTACAGTGTGGTGGGCTTCAGCTGTGTGTCTGTGGTGCCTCTGCTCTTCAATCTCCTACATCTGGCCTAAAGCAGTGCAATATACTGAAGAGTTAAACACAGCTTTACATTCACACATCTGTAAAGACGGAACATTTTGACTGTACATTTAATACATTAAAATAGTTTGTTTCAAAGTACACAGATGAGACCCTTCAATGTCCCCTTTTTGATTCAGTATTCCTATAGATTTACAGGACAAAGCTTCTTTGCCTTAAGAAATTAGAGTATATCAAGACCATTACATAATTTGAAAATGATTTATTGTTGTATTATTACCGCTGTATTCGAACCACTGACTCCAGTATTTATCTATATGTTGTATTTGTAATTTCTTATTTTTTGTTCTAATAATGTTTTTTAATGAAGTATTTGTTCATGCGTGGATATTTATGTCTCTATGAAGAGGTTATAATGTAATTGTTTGAAGGACTGTGTCCTACATAATAAAACATTTATTAAATCACCATGTTTGTATTATTTGTGTATTTAGATTAATTATCTTTTATCATCAGTAATTATTCATAAAACAAAAACATTATTGTGTATCAAATAGGTCAAGGATGCCCAAACTTTATTTGTTAAGAGGGCCACTTAAATTAACCAGACTTGTCCAAGGACCGACAACACAGATTTTTAAACTGTTTTGACTGGATTTGGTGTGTTCTGGGCTTTCAAAGTTAACAACTGGATTCTAAAGGTTCTGAGCGTCACACCAACAGCATGACTGTACTGGTGGAGTTGAAGTTGGCTGGATGATGTTGTGAAAGTGCCTCAATGGCTAAATTGTGTTAACAATGCATGCGGCCACAAAATACGACTTAACATTCAATTGGCCTGCGGGCCTTAGTTTGGACATCCCTGATAGAAGATTATAATATTATCTTTTTATTAAAAACAATGAAAAATGCATAACAATTGGTGCAAAAAAAGTAGTTTGAATAATTTATACATCATATTTTTATTCTCTTTATCTGGTCAGTGTGGCTAATCCATGGATCTAATCTCAATGGACATGGCTAATATTCTGTCTAAATTGTCGACAGTTGATTCCTCCATAATCCAGGATGTGCATATATTATGTAGTTTGTTTTGTATGCTTTTGTGTCCTTGTTCTCAACTCCTTTATTGTGATATGAAAAGTCTATTTGTATCTAACTGTAATTGAGCAGAATTAATACTGTTACTGCATTACATTTTAAAAGGCAAATCAAGATACAAGTTACAAGAACAGAGAGTACAGTACTCTGATGGAAAAGTATTCGTTACAAAAGATATATATAAATACTGTATCCTGTAGCAAAATACATGTGCATGATTTTTTACAGACACTAAAAGACGCGCTCAAAATAAATAATCAAAATTATTCATGACGCGTTATTTTGAAAAGTAATCCCTGGATCCAACCGGATATCCGGTTTGTCCTCCTCCAAAACACAGATTCATGCTGTGGCTGTGGACCATGGATTTATTATAATATTGTACAGAGGAGACTGCTGCTGGTTCATGTGGACATTTATCAGTTAACTTATGTATTTTACCATGTGTGCGGTGTGTGCTCACATGTGTTAGCACTGAACAGTCTTTGTTCACACTTTAGTCTCGTCTGTTTGATCGAACATGCCTCGAAAGGGAAACTCGGGCAAAAGGTAACATCAGTGTTGAACTGTGTCATGTTTCCTCAGTACTCATGCATACACGCTAATTTATTTATGTGTTTGAAGGTTATCGCTTTAAACAGCGGTCTTGCTTTATTAGCTACTTCCGTGTTTTGATTAATTACGCTGTTACGCTTGATATACAAGTTACTAACTAGTAACTACGTAACGTAACTTCTAAACGTAACTTTATCGTGTTTGTGTCTACAGAAAGAGGTTTGTAAAAAATGTATATGTTGTGAACAAATCAGCACATGCGCGATTTTCATCTTAATAGAAAATATGTTTTTGTGCAGAGTTGTATAAAAAATATGCTCTGAAGTTGTGCCAAAAATACATGCATGTGAAAACTTTCTGAGAGCAAAGTACTATTGTTTGATGGTTAAATGTTGTAGTACAGAGGTGTTCTGCTTTATAATTTAGCTATGACACCTTGGCTGAATGACAAATGTCCATGTCACCAGCTACATCAGCATCTTAGGCGATCAGATTCTATTGGAGCTTTGACATGGACGAGATTGGCAACGACAAAATACTGTTTCACTAATATCTGTTGTTGTATTATCACCAGCTTGGTCAATTACACATGAGGCATTCTGTTACATCCATCCATATTTATTAGAACTTTGACACAATTTTTCTGCACCACAGCTTTGAAAATAAATGAAGAAAATGTTTATTGAAATGGCATGTCGACCTGCGACAACAGTGGGAAATGTTGCCGTGTTGTTTGGAGCCCTGTCGATTGTTCACCACAGAGAAGACAAGAACGTGCCCAAATGAGACAAAACAAACTTACAGCTTTCAAAATCAGTCAGCTCAAGTCTCTGCACAGTGCACCCTGGACCACAGAGATTTGCCATGTAACAGACTATGGCAAGTTTATCATCCTCATTGAGCAATATTAACATTTTTAAACATATTTCCACTATGTCAACAGCCAAAACAATATACAATATAAGCATCTGTAAATACCTCCTGCTGACTGCAGTATACTCCACTATTGTACTATCCTTGAACCAAGTGCAAGTGCAGAGTTTTACTTTATTCTATTTTATTATCTTAATACTTAATATTATATTTAATTTCATTATCTATTATCTTAAATAATATATCCTGTTTGATGTGTACAATCTGTGTGCGCTTATTCCTCCTTCTTATATTCTGCTTTAATGTGCGCAACGATGACATTGAAATTTCCCCGCTGTAGGACGAATAAATGTCTATCTAATCTTATCTTATCTTAAACTCTAACAGTAGGCTCTCGTTTCAGCGTGTCCCGTGACTCGTTCAAGAACCAGTTGGCGTCTTCTTCTACATAAAATTACCTCTGAGCAGTTTTATGTGGCTTTCTGCATTACTATTGCACCAACACATTAGAAGGGTAAAACTAACCTGTCTCACAACGGTTTTACTAGGCCTTAGTAAGACTGTTGTATTTCATAGATCCAGTTTTTAGGTAAAGTTGGGTTCCTCAGCTTTCATAACACATGCTATTCTCCCACAGTGCGTTTTCACCCCTCGATGTCCCGTGGTGGCCCATTATTTGTGTATCTCTGTGTGTGTGTCCAGGCCCAAACTGGACTGGAGGTTCGTGCAGAGGCTGTGCAGTATCCAGAAGGTGCTGTTCCCCTCATGGAGCAGTCAGAGTGTGCTCATGTTTGGGACTCTGCTGGTGGTGACTCTCACAGGTTCGTGATGGATTATAGTAGAAGAACAATACTTATGTTACAGAGGCAAAACTACAGAAATGACTTCAGAACAGAAAAAATACAATGTACAGTGAAAGTTAGAGCTGACCAAGCAGAAAAAAAGTACATAATATTAAAACAATTCAGTATGCTCAAAGACGCCATAAAACCAACATATCTGAGTTAGCGTTAAAAGTGACAAATGTACATTTTTAAAAAGAGATTTAATGAACTATTTTAGTAGATGAATCATTCAAGCTCCATATACAAACTCCAAAACATGGAAATATGTAGAGATTTAGTTTAATTAAACGTCCAAAAAGATTAATTATGGTATACAAATCTGTGTAAATCTCACTTTTTATGACAGTTTTCTTATGTCTATAATATAATGAGATATTTGGATAGAATGTTTTTGGCATAACATTTCACATTGGCGTTCTGAACAACTAGAGAGAAAAAAATGCTTGGATAATCTAATTATCAAAGTAATTGCAGACTATAGCCCTAATAAAAAAATCCCTGCATCTTTGTGGTATCTTGAACCTCATCCTTTTTGGATGCAAGTTTATCAGTTGCATTGATTTAAACATTGGTTAATCTGTCCATCCTTTTTTGACTAATGGCTTTTTTGGATTGGGATTTTATTTTAATTTTTTGAACTATGAATACTACTTTTGGGCTGTGTAAAAATACTTTGATTTGATGCTTCAGCCCAACTTTGATTGGTCTGGGGTAGTATTGAAGAAGTTTGCAGTTTGCATCCATGTATTTACACTTATCCAAATGTTAGTCCTACCTCCAATATAATTGCAAATACAAAGTAATTACTACTTTCTTTTTCTCACCATCACTGCAGCTTGTGCTAGCATTCTCTGTTCTTGACTCTTGAACTTTAGCCTCTAGTAATTTTACTTCATTTTTCAAGCTCAATCTGCAGATTCCTTTAATGGTATTGTTTGCTTCGTTCAGAGCAGCTGATTATTTACCAGGTGGGCATCCTCCCGAGCCGCTTCTACAATGTTCTGGGAGACAAAGACTATTCAGGCTTCAAGAGTTTAGTCTTGAAAGCCATGGTTCTTATTCTACTCAACTCTACAGTAAGTTACCATTGTCAATACTTTCACATAAAGTTGCTTTACAGCCTCAATTATTGTCCTAAAAGCGGCTGCAAAGGTCATCTTGACTTTCATTACTTCGATCTACTTGGTAACTAAATACTTTTCCTCACACTTGTGTTTGTTGCAGTTAAAAAGTATAGACCAGTACATCTGCAATCTGATGTATTTGAGCTGGAGGAGGACGCTCACAGAAAGTCTCCACTCCTCCTATTTCCAGGGACGGGTTTATTATACTCTCAATGTTCTGCGAGATGACATAGACAATCCGTAAGTGACTCATTCCCTATTTAATAAACAATCGCATTAGCTTTTAATTCAAAGGGACAAAACATGTAAAATAGACCATTTTTATTCCTCTTACGTTTACGAGCCCTCTGTGGCTCTCAGCTTTGCTAACCTAATGTAGCCTTTGAGATCATAAACTGTGTTATCCAGCCATCTTCAGCTCCACCACTATAGGCATTACCTCAGATCAGAACGTGTAGAATCTATATATAATAATTTCAATGTCAGCTTTATTTGTGTAGCACATTTACAACAACACCAGCTGCCCAAAGTGCTTCAAAGGCACAAAAGACAAAAGAAGGCGGCATAAAATACAAACAAATACAGTAAAACGGTAAAACCCTCCCATATAGGAGCCGCTCTAATGTATGGAGGTAAACTATTCCACAGTTTGGGAGCAGCAACAGCGGCATTACTTTATGGCACTAATGTAGCTGTGGTGCAATAGCTCACACTAGTATTTCAACTTCGTTTCTTCATTTCAATTTTATAACCTAGAACAGCCCCAATCCGGTTAAAAAGCGGCCCTCTTACTTTGATTTACACATTCAAAGCTGTTCCAATCACCAATTTACACCTCTCGTCTTCAGTGCGCCATCGGGATGTAAATGTGGATGCACGTGTTATGTCCAAGAACAGTTTTTTATTGTATTGAGGCCGACTCTTGACACCAGCAGTGAAACAGGCGGATGTGCGAAGCGTTATGACAGTGTGAGCTGTTATAAATAGGCTGAAGTTTGCCGGTGACGCGTGTCAGGGATTATTATCCTTGCTAAACCTACTCCATTGGTGATAATCTGATATTCATGATTTTGAGTGTGTCTTTCTGTCCTCAGGGATCAGCGCATTAGTCAGGACGCAGAGCGGCTGTGTAAGCAGATGAGTACCATGGCCAGTCGCCTCATTGTGTCACCGTTCACCCTGGGATACTACACATACCACTGCTTTTACAGGTCGGTGACTCCGACATGCACAACTTTGATCTTTATAATGATTAGAATCTAGCTGTAACTTAAGCACACTCTAAATAGATATTTTGAAAAAAATTAAAGACCTTAAAAAAACTTTTGTTACAAGATACATATAGAGACAACATAAAATATACCATACATACACGCACAGACAAGGGTGAGGAAGAGGCTCTGGCAGGTCACATCAGGAGGCCTTTTGCTCCACGGTGTCACTAGAGACCAGGACCACAGACAGAGAGCCAGCCGTCAGTGTGACTACAGTACAAGTCAGGTAGTTTGGGTTATTCACATAAAGAGGATGCGGTTGTGGGACAAAGGGTGACCCCCCCAGGAGATGTAGCGGATAACTGGAGCCTTCTTGGAAAAGATTTATCTCATGTATAGAAGATCTACATCTTGCTGTCATTGGAGCTTTAAGATTTTCCTTTGATGCTGTACACGGCCATTACATGTGAGACTACTGATAGCAGGGGGGCTGGGTGTCCTCTTAAGGAAAAAGTGAACACAAAAAATGCAATTTTATGTTCTCTTTTGAATAACAAACTGAACGTCTGCTTTTCTCAAAGAGCAGTAATATTACATGGACGGAAAAATGTATTTCATTAGAACATATACATTATGAATGCGTGAATGTGTGAATGAGATAACATTAAAAATTGCACCCACAAATAAGCAGATAATTACACATTAATAATCTTACAAAGACACTGAGCTCCAGACCTCATGAACGGCTGCGTACGGCTCTGATGCTGCGTCCACGTTCAGACAGTTTCACGTCAGACTTCTCTTGTTACTCTTGTCTTGTTGTGTTGACAAATGTTTTCTCTTCTTGCAGCACAGGTTGGATGGGTCCAGTTAGTATATTCTGTTACTTTGTGATTGGGACAATTTCCAATAAAACTCTCATGGGCCCAATTGTGTCAACGCTTTTTGAGCAAGAAAAACTGGAGGGAAACTTCCGGTAAGTTTAGATTGGAATGCGGTTTTAATTTATCATTAAAGAACTTTTATATCAATCCCATTTGCTGAAAGCATTGAGGCCATTAATTTAAAACATACAAAACTTACAATCATTTTGTTTATAAATGTATCTATTTCTCCATTCTGAAAAGAATCATCTTGAATTTCATTATTTTCCCAGGTACAGGCTTCTTTCCTTTTTATGTGCTTTTTAGGCTTTTTAAACAATTGTTTATTTCTGAGCTTTAATTTTTCCACAAGAATAAGGTTCCAGATGTTTATTTCTCTGTACAGAGGTTTTATTCATAAAATGATTCCTTGAAAGTGGAGTCACTGTCAAGGAACATGCAAGCAAGGTATTCCAAGCATCTTCACACAAACTATGTGTTCTACATCCAGGTGCCAAGTGTGACAACAGTTTGATTTGGTAAAACTGGTTTGTCTCCTGTAGATGGACTTCTTAACCTGTCCCCTGTGTTTTTTATTCTTTATTTTTTATTATCTCTTTGACTGTTGCACTGAGCCAAAGCAATTTCCAAGTCTGTGACTTCCTGTTACTTACGTGGCAATAAAAATGATTCTGATTCTGATGGAAAGGTATAAATCTGGAATAGTGCAGGACAAACGATGACATTTAGATCATAGCAAAAACTCACCTGCGAGAAAGTTGAGGATTATTTTCATTATATTTTCGCTTTGGTTTTTTATGTTTTATTCCTTAAGAAATAAGGAATGAAGGACATCATGTCCTTATTCACAAGTTTGAAAGCATTTCATTCATACAGAAGTGGTGGGGGGATGCGTTACTCCGGAATTATAATAGTTTTTATGAAGGATAATTTAGCAACAGGGATAAAAAATAATTCAAGAATACAACACAAAACTAAATAAACTTGATAAACTACATTCAAGTAAAGTCATTTCTTCAGAGGAAGTAATTGTCTAATAAATTAAAGAAGTAAAACAGGAAACTGTGGTTGTGTCATACCATTGTGTTGACAAAATGTGTTTTAGACAAAGTTACAGGAAATTGTCGCTCAAACTTGTTTTTCTTGCAGATTTAAGCACATGCAGATCCGAGTGAATGCAGAGTCAGCGGCTTTTTACAGGTCATCACAATCAACCTTATCTGTCATTATTACACACGTTTAAACATGTCAAAGCCTTATCTCCGCACCCTTTGTGTTTTACCAGAGCCGGCAAAGTGGAGCACATGAGAACAGATCGAAGGCTGCAGACTCTGCTACAGACACAGAGAAGTTTGATCAACAAAGAACTCTGGCTTTATAGTAAGAAATCACATACATACACATTCATGTTTACAGCTATAAAGACAGAATCGGATTCAGTTTAGTTGCCATTTGCAGAAAAAACACATTGGAATACATTTGCAAAGTACAGTACAGAGAATAAAACAAGGGAAGAAGGACAGGAATAAAACAAACTAAAACAGGAAACAATTGACGCTGTGAATTTGATCAACACAAACTTTTATATCATGTCAAGATCATTAAAGTGTCTTGTTTAAACAAGACACTTTAATGATCATGTCAAGATCATTAAAGTGTCTTGTTTAAACTGATAACAGCTTGTGGAAAGAAGCTGTCAAAGGGAGATATCAATAACAATATCTTCTGCCAGAGGGAAGAAGCTGGAACATGGCTTTTCCAGGGGCCAGAAGAGTCTGTGATTATCTTAAGAGTCTGGATTCATAAAGAACCTCCAGAACAGGCATCTCACAGCTCACAGTTTAGAGTTCTTCTTTCTCTCTTACAGTATGCAATATTAGACCCCATGATGAAAAATTACCCCCATTGACATTGTTTTTTATCTCACAAATATGTGTATGTTTCAGTTATCCAGGCCTGACACCAGCACAAGCCAACACTGTCTCTACAATGTGGCTGCTTTATCTTAGTTCATCACTGATTAACAGCTTGAAACTCTGTCCTTTTCGCAGTTGGAGTGAACACCTTTGATTATCTCGGAGGCTTCCTCAGCTACATCATAATCGCCATCCCGATCTTCACTGGCGTTTACGACGGCCTGACCCCCGGAGAGCTCAGCGCACTCATAAGCAAAGTACATGGGTTTATTTCTGCTTCATCTGTTGAGAATCATTAACCCTAACAGCCAGAGTTGTTCTTTTTGATTTTATGTGAAACCAAATATGGAGGCCTGAAATATTTATAAGAAATACTCAGAAAGGGGACAAAAGAACGATATAGAATAAACAGAATAAAGGGAAAGTGTAGGGAAAACTTTGTGGAATGTCAGGCTACTGCCCTGGAGTGATGAGCTTATTTACCTTGGCTCAGGCAAAGGCAAGGCAAGGCTGTAGAAGCCTGTCTCACATTTTCATTTTTAAATGCTGCCTTCCCATTTTCAGTCCTGAAGGGTTAACATTTAAAACATACATGGAATTTCAGGGAATAGCAATTACGGATCAAATGGTTTATTAGTTTTTGGGTTTTGGTTATAGTTTTGTATGCAAAGAAAATATGTTCACTGCATTGAGCCTTAACAAAATGTACTTTTCATGATAAAAAGTTATGTAACCCAGCTTTAAGTAAACAGCATTAAATGTGAAAGGAAATATTCCTCTTGGCACGTTCACATCAATTACACTATTTGTCCAGTAGGTGGCATCAACGCTCCTGAGAATCCACCCATCCTTTACTATATGCACATATACACACATACTCGTTTTAAAACCAGGCTTAAAATCTCAAACCTCATATTATCTCCGTGCAAATTGACTGCTTTGTAATAAACATGACTGATGTGGCTCTTTCCGTTCGCCTGCTCCACAAGCCTCAAGTTTTATAGTTTTAATATCTGCTCTTGTTTATATTCAGAACGCCTTCGTGTGCATCTACTTGATAAATGGCTTCACGCAGCTAATAGACTTGTCAACCACTCTGTCGGACGTGGCGGGATACACCCACAGGTATCATGGCGCATACTGAAATCCTCCTCTTTTTTTCCAAGACAGATGAAGGCGGCAGGAGTGAATCTCTCATTTCAATTTCCTCCTGAATGTGTCCAGGGTTGGGGAGCTGCGAGAAGTCATGCACGACATCCTCCAAAAACAGTGCGATTACGACCCCACGTCAGGAGAGAGCTACGACTTTGACAGGTTCGCAAAAAACACAGTCTTTGGAAAGAACTGGGGCCTCAGCGATAAAACTTTACATTTGTTTTTAGTATTTGTTTATTATTTTTTACTAGAAATGTAGATATGAGCAAAGACTTCCACAAACCTAAGTTTGTGGGGCTCCGATCATGTTCCAACACCAGGAAATGTTTTTTGACTAAATCTCTCATTAAGTCGTCTTTTCAGAAATCACGAATTTAACGTCTAGTTTACAAAGATCATTCAGAAATCTTCTATAAGCAAGCAGAATAAATACTTAAATAAATAATTATTTTGCTAAAACAGATTAGTGCCATTTGAAAAGTTTTGGAAAGGCTTATGGTTTGCCTTTTACCACGTCGTTTGTTTTGAAACGCCAGATCTATTTTAGTGCCATACAACTTTTCTCACCCTTTGAGCAAATTATTTCAAATGTACTGCCAACAACAAAACATGAGGAAGATTGCAGCTAGCGGAATATAGATTTTGGACAATATTTTAAAATTGAGCTATCTTTTATTTTCAACTATTTATTTACCCAGCCAGAGGAACCATCCAGGTCTCATTCACACAGCAGCAGTGGCTGGATAGTACAGTGTGGGTTATTTATATATGAGCTAGATTATAGTTATGATTTTCGGGGGTCCTTTATTCGTCCCAGAGCGTTCCCCCTTTAGTTTAGTGTAAAATTACGAACCATCTTTTATCAGAATTCAATGTGTTTACTTGCTCTAAGATCAGCAGACCAGGCTCTCTTAGTGGTCCCTAAGACCAGAAAGAAGTCGAGAGGGGATCGGGCTTTTGCAGCAGCAGCCCCCAGACTGTGGAATGGTCTGCCTCTGCATATTAGACTGGCGGACTCACTTCCTGTTTTTAAGTCGCTTCTTAAGACTCATCTTTTTACTTTTGCTTTTAACTCAGTGGGTTGACTCTCTGTGCAATTTGTATTCTTGTATATGTTTCTATATTATATTGTGTTTTTACTTGTGTTCAGCACTTTGGTCAACTGTGTTGTTTTTAAAGTGCTCTATAAATAAATAAAGTTATTTATATAGGTATATTAATATAATGTAATGTCCAGTTGCATCTGGTGAGAAGAAATATACCGGTAATCATATAAACGTCTGGTGTCAATCAATTTGCCAGGCATGATCATTGCTTATTGCTAGTTGAGAAACATTACAATGCATTAAAAACTAAAACAGTAATGGTTATACAAACAGCTACGTTACTGACAATGTTCATGAAATATTTAGATCCAAGTAACTTATATTGTGGATCAGTAAAGTTTGTTCAAATCTTCCCCCAGAGCAGAAGGAGGTTAAATCGTCTGTACTTGTTTACTAGTTCTAATGAAAGTAGAAAGGCTCTCCTGTAAAGCCCTGGTAGTGACTTTGAGCCTCTCTCCACAGCGACTTCCATGTCCACGCCGGCCCAGTAGACACCGCCTTCATCCTGGACCATGTGTCTTACAAGTCTCCAGACTCAGAGGAGCTGCTGGTGGAAGATCTCAGTCTGAAGATCACAGAGGACACACATCTGCTGGTGGTGGGCAATACAGGAACGGGGAAAACCTCTCTGCTGCGAGTCCTGAACCGGCTGTGGGAGGCCGACGGAGGTGAGCGCTTTGTATCACATCGGTGTATTTGTTATTACTCTACTCATCATTTGTGTTTGTTTAGGTTTTGTCCAGATGACCACATGTTTCGGGCCCAGAGGAACACTTTTTCTGCCACAGAAGCCATTCCTGACTGATGGAACACTGCGGGAACAGGTTTGGGACTGTTCAATTGAAACAAATAACAGAAAATAAATACAAGAAAAAAATATGTAGATGATGGAGGGAAACTTTTGTGGGAAGCCAGGTTGCTGTATAGAAATTCTTCTACTTTGGTGCCAAAAGTTTCATGGAGTTTTGTTTTTTTATAGTAGTAGTCTTAGTCTTAAAAAAAAGAAGATCTAAATCGTTTATATTAAAAGTACTTGTTTTTGTTAACCAATAACAAATGTGACCTTTTTAAGAATATTTACCTTAACCATGTTTTTGAATTGTCGTCATAAGACTTGGGTGCGGTTTACTCGAGGACGCTGTGACCCTTGGGTATCGGATTGGCCTTTTGTTTGCATGAAGACAGTGTTTCAGGTGGTTGAAAACGTTGAGAAGCGTTTAGAGTGGAACAGAACAAATGCACTGCGCAGCGGGGGGCTGAAATGACCTCACATCTTCCCTGCACGAACATTTGGACATGCGCAGTAGCCAAGAACAAACGTAAAGAACAATGGCGGCCAATCAACTAATGCTACCTGTGCTTCGAGAGCTACACGGAGGAGCAATTCCACTCCTTCGTCTGTCCAAACGAAACCACACAAAGCTTTAGTTTCAGTTTCCATTTGTGCGTCTTTGCGGTGGCCTGAGGAGGATGTTGATTACACTGGAGGTGGTTGTGTGTCTCGTGTTCCACTCCCCACATCATCATCTCACTTTAGCTCAATATAAAATTATAATCAATATTTTCTCAACATTCAATGTGTTTTCTTGCTCAAAACTCAAGAGGAATATTATTATAATGTGAAGTCAAGTTGCATCTGATGGGATGAAAAAATGCCTGAGATAATAAAAAAGCGTCTGGGGACAGTCAATTTGCTAGTTGTTAGTTTTGGGGAACAATATGAAGACGATGAACAAACCACTAATTTTGTCAAACTACACCAATATAGACCGGACATGCATTATTTTAAAGCTGAAACTTAAATCTGCAATCTATTATTGATGACTGTAAAATGTCTAAATGTTATTTCAACACAAGCCAAAAGCAGAGATCATACACACAAATGTCCTTTAGCCAACTTCAGCTCACTTAATATTTGTTTTTCATTTTTAAGATCTTAACAACCTGATAAACCAGTAATATCTGTCCAAGCTAATGTTCCCACTGTCGAATTATTGCAAACATTTACTAACCACACAACACAGTAGCTACAAACCCAATCATTTTTCACTTCTTGCTTTTTAGGTGATCTACCCTCTGAAAGACATCTACCCTGCATCAGGTATGAGACCAAATCCATGTTTAAAATTGGAATGTGCCACTTTTATGTAGTTTATTATTATTATTATTATCAACAACCTTTGCTCCTCAGGGTCAGTGGACGATGACCGAATAATGAAATTCCTAGAACTGGCAGGAGCGGTGCGTGAAGGCCTTTTCAAACGCTTTTATCCCGTTCGTTATTGGGCCTTTTTAATACATTGCGTATTTTTGTGTGCTTTAGTCGAGTCTGGTGAAGAGAACAGGAGGACTGGATGAGAAGGTGGAGTGGAACTGGTACACGCTCTTCCATATAACGACACAATATAATTTGTGCTTTTATTAAAGGGCTTGAAATATATTTGTTTTCTCTGTAGGTACGATGTTCTGTCTCCGGGCGAAATGCAACGTCTTAGCTTCGCACGGCTCTTCTACTTACAGCCAAAATATGCAAGTATGGAACCTTTTCATCAAAACACCCATAATTCATGTAAACAAACACAATTTACGAATAAAAGATCTCTTAATCGTACCGTAATTTCCAGACTATAAGTTTCTACTTTGTTCTAGTTCTTTCACCCTGCGGCTTATATAGTGATGCGGCTAATATGTGTATTTTTACTGTGACAGTTGTCATGTTGTTAGAGCAGAGTTTTTTTTACCAATTTTAGTAGCTGTAGGACACTTTTTTTATTGTCAAAATATATGTCCTGGAAGCTAACGGTGAATGAGTCATGGAAGCTAACGGTGAATGAGTGATGGAAGCTAACGGTGAATGAGTCCTGTAAGCTAACGGTGAATGAGTCCTGGAAGCTAACGGTGAATGAGTCCTGGAAGCTAAGGTCTATATACAACATGCAAACCTGGGGGTTATTTTCAAGTACAGCATATATGCGGACAACATTTTTTAGGTGGTGCGGCTTATACACAGGTGTGCCTTTTATAGTCCAGAAAGTACGTTAATTATTCCACATTTCTTGCTAGTTTTGGATGAAGCCACGAGTGCTCTGACAGAAGAGGCGGAGGCTCAGCTTTATCGGACGTGTAAACAACTGGGCATGACGCTGGTCAGTCTGGGACACCGCAGCAGCCTGGAAAAGGTGACTGTCACTTCTACATCAGCGGTGTCAAACTGGTTCCTGAAAGGGCAGGTGTGGCCGCAGGATTTCATTCCAACCAAGCAGGATCACACCAGACTCCACCCATTTCCTTAACTCTCAGACTAGGTTCAGACTGGTTGAAATGATATCCTGCTGCCACACCGGCCCATTCGAAGGCCGGCTTGACACCCCTGGTCGTTTCATTCATTATTTTTTGTTATTTGTTTGTTTTATAGTATCACGATGTCCAACTAAAGCTGTGTGGAGGCGGCCGCTGGGAGTTGACAGATCTGAGAACGGTTTCAGAGGCATTTTGATGATCGCACAACGCACTGTTAATCGCTGCTAAATCAGAAGGAATCAAAACCGCAGTAGTTACTAAACACTCCGATGATCTTTGAAGTCAGGAAATGGAACTAAAGTCGACCACACTTTTGACATGGTACCTGGTGTCTAACAAGAACAGATTTTAACTCATGATTGTTTTTGTGCGTTCAATGTTATAGTTATTAAACAAATCGAATGAAAGGCATTTTCTCTCGAGACAATTCTACGCCGCGCTCAGGCACCGGATAAAAGGAAGAAAACTGATACTTGAACCAATCAATATAAAACTCGTGCCTTTGAGTTTGCTTCAGTTAAAGCTACGGTACCTAACTTGTTTTTTAAAATATATTTGGTTGTATCTGATTAGAAAACATACAGAATGAGCCCTTTGAGTTACTATTAGATGAAAGTGAAAGCAGACAAAAATTCTTTCATCTGTAAACAAGTGAGAGATTGGAACTAGTTGGATAGATGGAGTTGGGTAACACGTTGTGAGAGTTTGCATGTTCTCCCCGTGCCCCCGGTTTCCCCTACCCCCTAAAACAATACCCAGTTCTGGTTTGCCGAACACTACTTCTGACAGATTTTGCTATGGTGTCAGTACAGTATAACTTATGTCTTTCCACTTGTTGCAGTTTGAAAGTTAGGTACCCCAGCTTTAACAACTGGAAATGTGCAGTTTATACCAAGTCAAAGGAAATGAATGATTGAGAGACACACAGAAAAGACCTGACCCAGCCTTAAACGTTAGTGTTTACATTTAATATAAACGTATCTAAGGGTGATTATTTTCTTATTGTACAACAAACTATAATACATTTAAGGTAATCAACAATATTACAATGTTTTTTTTACATGACGGATATTATTGTGTTACTTCCATCCTCCCACAGAACAGAATTAAATGTGTATTTTAAGACACTTGTGGTTTCTCCTAGAGGCAGGTTTCTTTGTGGCCCTGGATGATCTCTTGGACTGCAGAGGGGTCGTCCAGCGTGCTCAGGTCTCCGAGTCCGTCCAGGTCTCTCTCTACAACCTTCCGCAACACGCGACGCATTATTTTACCTGAGCGTGTTTTGGGCAAGCGCTGAGCAACCTACAACAAAAGCTGGGTTAATAATTGATGACAAAATTATAACTTTAAAACTGGCCGTGAGCAGTTACCTGGATGTAGTCCGGACAGGCGTATTTGGCGATAGACTTTGACACTTGGTCTTTGAGCTGCTGCCGTAAGTCGGACTCTGAAATATCCACTTGCTTTTTCAACACCACAAACGCATAAACCCCTGACGGAAAAGAGCGGATGAGATGATTTAAAGGGACTACGAAATGTATGAATATTTTAGTATGAAAGCTATAGATGTCAGTCAATGTATCCCCAGAACATTTGTCATCACATTCTGAACAAAAGTTTAAAGTGGATTTGTAATGAAAAATACAACTGTCATGGACATGGTGCCTACAGAATGTTTTTTTTTTAAATATATATGCGTAATACAGATTAAAGTGATAGTCTGTAACTCTAAATGAATTACAAATTTTAGGAAATGTGTTAAATTGACCTCCTGGCCTTAAATGTTGATATAAAATAAGTCATTTTATTAATTCTAATATTACGGGCAAGTCCCGCCTTCCCTGCTCTTAGCTATAGTTCAGAATCCACGGTGCCGTCGAGGTTAACCAATCGAGTCATGCCAAGGGCTGTCAATCATCGGCGCTGATGCTCGCAGCTGCGCGCATGCTCAGTTGTTTGTTTTCGCGGAGCCTCCGAATCAAGCCTCTATTAGGCTCTGCACTACATGAAAACTGAACAAAGAATTCTGAACATCCGCGCTGAGTTACCCATTTATATACTGAACCTATATCCATAATCATTTATATACTGAACCTATATCCATAATCAGACCCTCTGCAGATGTGTCCTATAATGTGCAATTCATAATAATAGCACTTCCTGGTTTGCCGCGATCGCTTTTTTTGTGCATAAAAACATTATTTTTTTAATTAAAACGTTAACAAATAATTCTGAAAACCTCCGTGCATGTGTATTAATAATGTATATGTATAATGTGTTCTCTGATTAACATTTCAAAGTGTTACGGAAACGTAGGTGTAGACCAATCAGAAAGGAAGGGGGAGGGAGCTTGCGTAGTTTTTTTTCAAATCAAGTACCTTTCTGTCTCTTTCTGACAAACTTCAGACAATCACTTTAATAAATATATTTTAATAATAATGCTTGGGTTTTATATTGCACATTGTGGTCAATCAAATGCATTTAAAATCTTGACTTCAAAGTTAGGTATTCCAGCTTTAAGCCTTTTATAATTAAACAGTTACTTATTCAGCAGTTTATGCATCAATAAAACAATATTAAGATTCTCACCTTCTCCTTTTATGTCATGTGCGTACCCGATGACTGCTGACTCGGCGACAGCGGAGCAGTGATTCTGAAACACACAGGCCACAAGTGACTCATGATGTAAGGGCAGACGTAATATTTATTCATTTCAATCGTATGTCGTTGATCTAACTATTGTGTAACAAAATATAGAAACTGCAGAAATGTCACTATTAGGATCATTTGGCATGACGTAATGTGTTAATATGGTGAGTAATCATCTCAGAACAATTGTGTTTAATTTGACTGATGACTGGACAAATAACAAGCGTTACCACAACATCTTCTATCTCTGCCGTCCCGATCCTGTGGCCGCTCACATTGATGACATCATCCAAGCGCCCGGTGATCTGATAGTACCCCTCCTCTGTTCTGTTCGCCCCGTCTCCCGTAAAGAAGTAGCCTGCGGAACACGGACTAATGAGATTAACTCTAAATTATAATTCAAGTGCTGTGTGATGTGGGCTGAGCTTCACCAGGGAAGGGCTGGCAGTACGTCTCGATGAACCGCTGGTGGTTGTTGTGGATGGTCCGGGCCATCCCAGGCCAGGGCAGGGCCAGACACAAGGCTCCAGAGGCACTTTTTGAGCTAACCTCCTTCCCCTAAACAGATCAAAGTACAATGTTATAAGAATGAATACTGTACACAACTATGGACACACAATGGATGGGTGTGGTTGTGTGTCTTTTAGGGCAGCGCTAATAACCGAATGGTTAAGTTTGGTACAAGTTTGATTATCGTAAAATTAAAATAGATACACTAATGATATGGCAATAACAGTGAGTAGGGCTGCAGAGAGCATACGCCCCTCTATTTGCTCTATTGCGCTTTTTCTGTAAAGCCAGCATCAACTAATTAGGACATTGTTTGGTATGTAACCCATTCATTCATGTTCGTCCTCTTTATCAATCTATTTCTGGGTCAAGGGGATGGATCTACAGGAGGATGGCTACTTCTTCAATGGCCTTGGTCTTTCAGGGGCGGAGGGACCAAGTGTCTAGCGCAGGGACACAATGGCAGCAGAAATCAGCGCGAGTAGGAGTGAGGTGTAAGTGTGTGGGTGATTGAACCCACAACCAGATACATACAAAAACACCAATATTGCAAAATGAAATGAATACATTAGCGGGGACTGCCAATGTATGTATCGGCTGTATTGTTTTAATGAATTTATTTATTTTTGTTTTTGTTTTACATTTTCTATAGCGGCTCAGAAAGCTTCTGTTCAGGTCAGATTCCTTACAGCAATAAAAGAAAATGATTTAATTTTAAGGATCAGAAATGTAGCCCTAAATCACAACAGTATATCTCAGAGAACTTAACAAAACTGTTGAATTCACCAAAATACAGATCAGAGAATCAAACCGTTCAAACACAAGAAATGCATTGATAATATATATTTTCTCTCTGCAACTTCTCCTTATGAAGTAATCTTTAACTGATTCTGAAGGAGGGAGGTGTGGCAGCCCTCGAGGTCAGACTCACTCAGTTCTGTTCTGTTTTCCGTTATGAGCTCTTCCCCTTTCACTGCGATTGGCTGAAATATTATGCACTGTTTGGCTATTCAAATATTGTCTTCGTCATACCAGTTATTGTATTTTGGTTTGATTTGAAAAAATAAAACTGATTATTTTTTTGACCCAGATCGGCCGGCGCTGGTGTCTTAGGTGCATTAACCCTGCACAAGGACGAGTATTGTTGAAAAGCTTGAGATTGAGCCAAAACAGATCAGTGCCTCTCCCCAACTGTCTCTACAATCTGTGCATTTTAGCAGCAGGGAAATCGTCCCAGTTACAGACATGATATTATGGTTACATATCTCGTTCAGATAAATTTACATAATCCTGCATTAGATGTTAAACTAGGTCAAGGAAAGCCATGAATGTTATGTTTTGTTATATATTTACTAGTCATTGTTGTCGGGGAAGGTCCTATCATGTGTCACATACGGCTTTTTCCCACTGTGACCCTGTGTTTGTGCACACGTGTTAAAATTCTGTGTTGCCAAGAGACAGTCGAGGGAAAGGTTGGAGTTTTTAGACCCGTGTCAGCTTTTCACCACACGACAGGAATGTGTCAAAATAAAAAATCAGTCTCATAAAATCCAAGGAATAGATAGATAGATACTTTAATGATACCCGTAGGAGAAATTCAGATGTCCAGTAGAAGAAAAAAAAAAATTACTAAATAGAGTTATAATGGACTAAGGCAATCTCGTCGTCATCATCTCAATGGAGCAGCAATATTAATATATATTTTTACAAGAAGAACTTTATAAAGGAAAAATGAAATGCACGTTATTTCCATTATTTTTTATTCTTTGTATAGATTTAGCAAATAATAAGTAGGAGGGTCTGCTAGAGCCTTGTGAGGGTCTAACTAAAAGGACAGCGGTGATGATCCAATATTTAACAACATTTATGGACATTTATCAACACTTATGGATCAATACCAATTTGTTTTCTGTTTTTTTTTTTCTTGTGTTTGAGCTGTTTGATTCTCTGATCTGTGTTGGCGAATTCAACCGTTGTGTAAAGTACTTTGAGATATCTACTGTTGTGATTTGGGGCTATACAAGAACACATGTAATTGAATTGAATAACTAAGGACACATTTGCAGGCACATGATCCTGAGTGGAAAGATAACACAAAATATTCAACGCCAAATGTATATAACATGTACATTTTTCCATTGTGAGATCAATACAGTCATATCTTGTCTTATCTTACTATAGGCAACTGATAATTTCTGCAAACTTGTTAGTAACTTTTAGAACTATGTATATATTGTGTTTGTATGTATTAGTATTAGATAGCAATATGGCCTACGTGCAGGACTGTACAAGGACTCTACAAGGACTCCATGTTATGACTATGATTTGACTGTCTCTTTGTGACACGTATGTCTTTCGATGTGTGACGTGACAATGACTATATAAACTATGTACTGCCTTTATTCTGTCTGGGAGAAAGAAACAGAGTAAACCAGTGGAACTTGAGAGAAACTTAAATAAACTTCCAGAGTTTGGCACACCACGATCCGTCTCTGTCTGCTAAATCCTTACAGATTTGGTGGAGAATGCGCGGCTCGGTTTGTGCCATTCTCTGGATTGTTTTGAGGGAGTTTGCTTTGTTTCTTTTTCTCGGCGTGGGAGAGCTGAGAGTGTCTGGGGCCTGGGAGCGGTCCAGCAGGCTGGAGAGGCGACCGGCTCCGGGACTCTTTTTCGCTGTCTCACTATATTTTTTTGTGTCCTGTTTTTTGGACTGAGCGTTTAAAATTGTTTTCCCATGTCCGCATTCCGGGGATTTTTGACGTGCGATTGGTCTCTGCCGATGGAAACTAGTTCCCGGTACTAGTGAGCGCTGGTTCATGATCTGGAGACCTGGTTGGACGTGGAAAAGCTGATATTTGGTGGACTTCTGACTGTGCCTGGGCCCTGTTCAACAAAAGGTAAGAGCGGACACCTGTTTATTCAAAGTCTGCTAATTGAGTGAACTAAATTATGGTCCTTTTTTGAGGTCCACCAAATGTCTAATATCTATAGATAAGATTAGAGAGAGAAAGGAACCCCTGACGTATCGGGGTCCCTGTCCTTTGAAGTAGTCAGGACAGAGAGAAAAAGGAACCCCTGACGTATCGGGGTCCCTGTCCTTTGAAGTAGTCAGGACAGAGAGAAAGGAACCCCTGACGTATCGGGGTCCCTGCCTTTGGAGTAGCCGGGGCAGAGAATAGAGAATAGAAAATAGTTAGTGAAACCATGGTGTAAACATAAAAGTAATTATAAAAAGGGAAACGTTAAACACTAAAGAGTGCCTTTTGTTACTAGTGTGGAAAGTGATCATTTCTAGACTTGGATGACAAAAGTATAAAGAACAACATCAGTTATATTCGCTTAACAAAGTAATCTTGAAAGTTATTCTTCTGTATCTTTTTGCCTGTGTGTGTGCGTCGCTCTATCTGCTGCCGTTGTCAGGGAAACGGCCCCCTCCTTCGCTGCTCTGGCTGTGAATCTGAAGCAAAGCTACTGCTTTAGGACTTTTGGCTTTTCATAGTTGTTATTCCGTTAAATTTGCTAAATTTGCCATTTGAACATTGTGTTAGACACAGTTAAACGTTTTTAAACACCATTAGGGAATAGAAGTTTTGAATTAGTATGTTTTTGAAACCCAAAGATTAGTACAAAAAGCTTTGCTTTTCTTTTTAAATCTGCTGCTTATTTTGTAAGTCCATTATTGTATCTCTGATATATTTTATAGCTGTTTGTGAGAATTTTTTCATGTATTTTTTATTTTAGTTACAAAAGCCGTTTTTCAAACATTTAAATTAGAATCTGTTAAAAGTGATTAATGATTGTAGACTTCGTCTAAAAAAGAAAGAGGGAATTAGGCTGTAAAAGTATTATATTATTAAGTTAAACTACCCAATTCACATGCAAGTGGTGACTTTTGTTTTTGTTTTGACTACACGCCTGACATTGTTGCTCCTGCTGATGCCACAGCAGAGGAGACTGGTCTAAAATGTGCTCCAATTCATACTGACTTCATTTGAAAAATGCTGCAATTATTTTAAATTAGTAGAATAGATGCTGAGATAAATAAGTGTAAAAGGGAAAGTCCATAAAGTGAAACCCAAGATGTTCAAGATTAAAAACATCACACAGTACAAAAGTACATAATACATATTTTAAAGTTTAAGAAGGTTTAAGAGATTTGAGTCTTGTTTTTTATATTGAGAGTTTCTGGTTTTAAATGTCATCATTAGTAAGATAATAAGTAATCTTTATTTACATAGCGCTTGGGAAAACCCAGAGCGCTCAAATTGTTTTGACTTCAGAGAGAAAAACAATCTCATTCACAATCTCTGTTGTTTTTAATTTGACTATAAGGTTGTTTTCCAGAACCAAGAGCACACACTGTACAGGGTCACTGGACTGCTGGACACTGGACAGCGCAAAGCCCACCCAGCCACAGGTCACAGATCAAAGAGCAAAGGAAAATGCCACCTCCTTGCCCCTCCCCACGCCACTGCAGAACTGAGTGGGTGTGAGAGAGACCGGGGCCATGAAAGAGAGGTATCTGGAGACGTGATGGTGGAGCGTCAGGTAGAGACCTAGAGGGAGTTGAAAGTGTGTCTACGTGGTTTACATCACCACAGTGTGACCTTTGACACCTACGGGTGGTTCGAGGAGTCTTGAGAAACAACCCCAAAATTCACATACACACACATACACATTTACATATAGATACATGAAAAAGCAGAACATGAGAAAAAAGCATTTTAAAAGTTTACTCCAATGTAAACACATATTTTTAATTGTCTATCACTTGAATCTTTATTTGAATCTGTATTTTTTGAGACCAGAAATGTTCATTTGAATTCTATATTGTCATGGACTAATTGACCTCTGTCCTGACACTTTTGATTTGTTGATTTTGTACTGTGTGAAGTAATTACATTGATTAGAATTAGATATGATAAAAACACAAATTAGAGAAGTAAACTGAATCATTGCACTTGCTTTTGTCTGAGAGACATTAGCAACAGCATGAATAGAAATTGTCTTTAAAGTAGAATCAAAGTGATTAACCATAGAGAGTAACTATTGCATAACAAGCTGTGTACAGGAACTGTGACACTGCACCATTGACCAGAAGTGCATCGCAAATGACCTGATGTGCTTCAAGTGAAAAGACTGTATCTGGAGATCTGATGTGCATCTGGAGTGACCAGAACCATGGCTTGGACCCTACTGATGTCCAAGATGACCTGACCTGATGACGACTGAGACTCACCCTCAGGGGACCCTGAGGACCTGAGGACCTGAGAGAGAAAACTGGGGAGTGATGTTTATATTTTTGAAATCATACATTGATGAGTGCTAAATGAGAGAGATACTCATGATTCTTTCTTTTGTTTTTGTTTGTGCCTAGCTTCTGGACATCTGATGATCTATTGGACACAGCCATTTGCAGAACAAGAACCAGCCAATGAAAACGTCTATTGCCGATGCTATTGCTACAACCAGAACCTGTGACAAAATGCAATATACATGTTAAGTATTCAGACATCTGACAGACAAAAACTTTGAAAATGATAAAGTATAAGTATTGTAGCGTTTTAGTAGATGTTAAATAGTAGTAAAAAAGTAGAATTGTCCTTTCTTTGTTGTTCATAAACATATTTCCACGTAAGAGTTAAAATAGTACCGTACAATGTTATCCTTTTGATAGATCAGCTATAATATTAGAATCAGAATCATGTTACAGCCACTAAAAGTGACAGAAGTCACAAGCTAGAAATATGCCTTTGCTCAAACTGCAGCCAAACTTCAGAGTCACAATAGTGTAAAAATAGGAATAGATAAATGCATCAACCATAGATGCTTTCAAAAATAGAGAATATTTGTAGCCAGTGCTAATATCAAATGGTAAAGGGACCATTTCACAAGCATTACTTCAAAAGTAGATAAAGTTAATTACAGTTTATGTACAGTTTTATTAGATACTTGCCAAATTCACTTGTGTTCAAACATGAGTGAATGTTGACTATGCAAAAGTCCATATGAGTGTAGCCTAGATTAATGCCTAGATCAATGAGATAGATTAGCACCAACAGAGATTCAAAAGCATTTAAAAGCATTTTGATGTATTTGTGTATAGCACAAAAACACAATAGTAGATATTTAGATATTGAGAAGTTTCCAGCACAAACACCATTGTAGAATAACTGACCCCAACCCCAAACCTGCTAAAATAGATTAGCTCTTGTAAGGATAATACTAATTTGATTAATGATGTTCATTCATCCCAAATGCCTGACAATAATATCTTTAGATAATAAAAAGTAATAAATCACAGACCACTATAGAAGTGTAAATGTTGACCATTTGCCTTACTGTGTTCACAGTTTTATTCCTGAGAATGAGAATAGACATGGAGCAAAATCCCACTGATAATATGCCACTGATAATGAGAGTGTAAAACTAAAGAGAGATTTATTAGATTAAAATGTATGTTTAAGAATATGGCTCAATAGAAGCAAATATACAAACATATTTGTAAATAGATTAGAATAGTTTAAACTATAGTGAATAGTGAAAGTAAAGTACACAATCTAAGATTAAAAAGTGAAAATAATACAGTGAAATAAGTGAAGTGTAGTGTAAACAATTGTCATTAGAATAAAAGTATAGAGTAATAAAAGTGAAATTAGCTTCTAATTTGAGACTCAGCTCGTTTTTGTCTGTGTTTTGACTGAATCTGCTGAGTTCTACTGTGTCCAATAGTTTTTGTTTGTTTTTATTTTTGTTTGTTTTTATTTTTGATTTGTTTGTTTGTTTTTGTTTGTTTTTTTTCCCAGGATAGAGGATAAAATCCACTGATATTGATTTGATGATTATGAGTTTAATGCATACATTTTCTTTGTTTTTAATAATTTTTTGAAGTTTTTTTTTGGAATTTTTTTTTTCTTTTTCCACTTTATTGATTGATCAAATTGAATGATCACATGTGATTATGTGATCAAAGGGGAGGGTATTAGTATTAGATAGCAATATGGCCTACGTGCAGGACTGTACAAGGACTCTACAAGGACTCCATGTTATGACTATGATTTGACTGTCTCTTTGTGACACGTATGTCTTTCGATGTGTGACGTGACAATGACTATATAAACTATGTACTGCCTTTATTCTGTCTGAGGGAAAGAAACAGAGTAAACCAGTGGAACCTGAGAGAAACTTAAATAAACTTCCAGAGTTTGGCACACCACGATCCGTCTCTGTCTGCTTCATCCTAACAGATTAATAGATGTGTCTCTGCTGCCGGACACCTGACTTTCTCCCACAGGGAATCAATAAACTAGACTCTCTCTCTGTCTCTATGTTAAAGGTAATATGCCATAATCCAAAATGACTGGTCTGGTTCACAGCGTCGGTATCTATCACTGCTGTCACATGTTCAGGGGTGGCTTGTATCAGATGTGACACAGCTGCTGCGACTCTCCTAATCCTAATCTGAGCCGGGTTCCCATGTCCCCGGGATCCCCACATGTGAAACCTGCAGGACTGTGGACTGTACCTCATTGTCTACCAGCACTGGACTGATGCCAAAGAAGGGTCTCATGGCCATTCCCGGGACTATCTCAGCGTCAGGCTCTGAAGGCCGCGGGGCAATGCAGATGCCACCTGTCTCTGTGAAACAACAACAAAACAATATTTACAGTACAAACAATATGAACAGTATGAAACTATACGTGATGACGGCTGAGGGCAGTCATCAAGCTCACCTAGTACTGCCTAATTAGATATGTTATGCAGTACTAGATCATTTACAAATACATGAAAGTAGCAAAAGGTAAGATTTTCATGTCAAGTCATCATTAAATGGCCCTAATCTGTCAAAAGGTTTTGATGAAACATGCTCTTTTTGAATTCTTCTTTAACAGTAGTTTAATCGAGATTTGGTTTTACAGCCCCTAAATCTTGTTATTGTTTTAATTTCGATACCTTCGCCCTCCACTGTTTTACCAATCAGAAAGCACGTGATCCGGGTTGCCAGAACCTACCGTACCATGTGGCCACAGAACTAAAAAAGGTCTTGTTATGATTCTCAAATCATTAACGACAAAACAAGGAATAAAACAAAGATTTCTATCGAGGCCTTTGTGAAAAAGGTGTTGGTTATAGATTTGTTGTTGACAAAACTCTTGTATGTTCAGCTATAATGGTCCCTGCTGGATTCGTCTGCATATCTGGCAACCTGAGTCAGGGAGAGTGGGAGAGGTTGCAGTACCACTTTTGGCCAGATTTGTACATACTGCTCCTTTAAATAAACTAATTTGATATTCATATTGAAATCTAAACCTTACTCAATAGGTTCCATTTATGTTCAATTCAATTCAATGTATTTCTGTATAGCCTTAAATCACAACAGTAGTCATCTTGGAGGACCCACACATACAATAGAAGCCATCGGTCCATAAGGAGCGGGATGACCAATGTTCATAAATGTTAATAAATGTTGTTAAAATGCCCTTAATTGTCCTGGATCATCACCACTGTCCTATTTTAATTGTTTTGAGAAGTTGAAAATGTCCAAATTTGTCTAGATCATTATCTAACAGTGATTAGATTCACAAAACTGCACTATTATTCTTGCAATTGAAAGTCCTTTCTGCTGGCCAACATTACCCATTCTTTTCATATTGTCACCACTTCTACACACCTTTATGAGAAAATAATTACACTATAGTTATTATACACTGACAAAGAAGATGTGAAACAGCAGGTTTTTGTTTTATGTGGATTGGAACTTATTCTTTATGTTCTTTACTTTTTGGAATGTCACTATGCCATCTGTTTTGTCTTCTTTCACAATCTTCTTTCACACAGACTTGCATTGGCACCTGCTCTCCAACTGAACTCTAGAACATGAGCAGAACCTATTCCTACTTTGTTTTTAACTCACATCCATTCACTCAGACACAGGGAGAACATGCAAACTCCACAGAGAAAGAACCCTCTGGCCCATAGGAACTGAACCCAGGACAATCTAGCTTTGAAACATGAGCAGCGACCCCTATGGCCATTCAGTAAGTCTGTAAAAGTGCACCCTGAGCGGTCCCTGTCCCACTGCTTGGGAAACACTGGACGAGGCTCTGAAGACTGCGCTGAATAATACGTACAAGATTTATTCCTGGTTTAAAAACGTGTTGATTGTTTTTGTTGAAGTGCTTTCAGGTCATTTCAGTTCAATAAAAGACACATATCGAGCGTGAAAAGTGAATGAGTGATTTTGAATCCATAAAGTAAGTGACATTGTGGCCGCATTGCATCATAAACTGAACTGAACGTTGCTTTTTATCAAGTTACACATTGCAGAGGGCTATGTCTCAAGAGATAACTCCACAGTGACAGCGAACATGACCCTTTTACATGTTTAGCATGACATAAAAAATGGAAACTGAAACGCAAAATCTGATTAGCATAAGTCCCTCTCAGTGTGCAGATGTAGCTTTAGGAATTACTGCCATATTAAGCAAATTAAATATTATTAGGCTGCGCGGGTTAATCTGCTGGTGTGGAGCAGAGCAGAGGCTGGTATAAAGTAGGGCACAACAGATAACAACCATGTTTATTCATTCAACAACTTTCTCTCCTTCTCAGGTAGCTGTTGTTGTGGACTACTTCCCTTTAACGTTCATTTCATCTTTTGACTGGTGTGTGATTAAACGCGGCGGCCGTATGCCAACCGTGGATCAAAATCTAATTCTGTCTCTAAACAGGCTACTTGTTCCCAGATCAACCAAATGGCAATTATGAATAATGCCACTTAGAGCTGATGGGACACACAGTCCAGGGAAGCAGCACAACAACATAATCCTTTCTACTGAAGTATTTGGGTCATAGTGTATCTGTGTGGTTTTCAGGGTCTAATGTTTAATTATCGACAATTAATTAACGACTTATGTGCCATTTGTACGGTAATTATGCAGCTTTGTCCCATTTGGTCATTACTAAATCTCATGTTGTGGGTTTATCCAGGATTCACCATCACAAAATCACATCAAAGTTAAGTTCATACAATTATTTGGATACAGAAATGTGATGATCAGAAGTTGCTGTATTCTCTAAAAATGTGTTGTAAGATTGTGATTTATATCTTTAACTCATGTAGAAAAGGTCAGGGCACCACAGTGGTGTTTGGGGTCTGAGAGGGAAAGTTCATGTGAGAGTCTGTGGGCGGAGCTTTGTCTTTTGTCTACAGAGTGTAGTGTTACAGCTCCACTGATGCACTGAGCATCAGGGGGTTTATGAGTGCAGCACTTAAACATTGTATACTATACTAAATATACTATATATAACGCACAGACCTGTTTGCCACCATGTGTCCACGACAGGGCAGCGACCATCGCCCACCACTCTGTGGTACCACTCCCAAGCTTCAGTGTTGATGGGCTCGCCCACTGAAGGAAAAGCAGAGAGCACAGAGATAAGCACAGATACATGTGTCTAACTTATGGAGATTCAGATAGTCAGAAGTCTGATAAGACATGGAAGAGGTTTTATAGGATAAACAAATAACATTGCACTGGTGTAACTTTAGAAAACAAGGTTCTGCAGCAGTCCAGTTCACTTCAAACAGATGTGTGTATTGTACAGTTAAACAGGTGTGTCCTCTGACCCTGTGACTGTGGAGCTATAAGAGCTCTGGTCACTGCAGCATAACTACCGAGTATAAATACACTCAGTGTTCCGCTGTCAACACTGTAGTACAGTAAACAATACTGTAGTACAGTACACAATACTGTAGTACAGTACACAATACTGTAGACGCTGCATACGTGTGTGTGTCGTACCAGAGCCCAGCGTTTTCAGGGACGAGCGGTCGTATTTTTGCACCCAGTGGTCTCCGTACTTGAGCAGCAGGCGGATGGCTGTTGGAGCTCCATAAAACTGGTTAATCTGTAGTCGCTCCACCATCTCCCAGTATCTGCCTGATAGAAGCAGCACAGGTTAGGATAATTACACTGAAGTGATAATTTCACAATCCAAGAATATGGCTTAAATGGGAGAAAGCACAGTACAAACCACTTCTGACCTCGAATACAAAATATTATTTACAATAACTACTCATTTTAGCTTCGGTGTTACGTGTAAACATCCCACAGGTCAAGTTCAGGCCATAACCTTGAACTGTTACAGTGCTTTTCTCACATTACATAAGGCAACAAGCTGTCATATATACACGCTCATACCTGGGTCTGGATAAATAGGAGTGCTTTCAAACAAAACAGTAGTGGCTCCATTTGCCAGAGGTCCGTACACGCAGTAACTATGTCCGGTTATCCAGCCGATGTCAGCGACGCAGCCGAACACATCTCCGTCATGGTAATCGAAAACATACTGGAGACGACAACAACACAGGGTAGACTCAGTATTTTATCTGCATATTTTCGAGCTGAGGTACCCAACTTTCTTCTTCTTCTCATTAATAGCATTACATTTTGTAAGTCCCAACAGAATGATAAGATAAGACACTCCTTTATAGTCTAGAGGTTCACTTGCTTTACACCACAGACATTTACACACACAACATTAAACATTGAACAGGCAAGAGCAACATCAGAGACCTCTAGGACATCGAGGAAAGAGTCTGAAATAGACTATAAATACTAATAGAAAGGAATTATTTTGGAAAATAGTGTCTTCATCTTATTAGAAATTCATATATTTTGCATACGAAAAAGCACTATGAGTCACCATTTGATGTTTTGTGTCATGGTCGAGGTGTATTTCCTGTTTTGTAATTTGTCGACCTCTGTGTCTTCTTTAGTTGTACTTCCGGTTGTCTGACCACCTGCCCTTATTTTTTTCACCTGTGTCTCGTTAGTCTTGTCTATTAACCTATGGATCTATAATAATAACTGGATAGGGTATTACTAGCTTATAGCTGTCCCATCCATGGGCACAGGGGGCGCTGTGGTACTGCAGACTAAATTCACGAGGGCTTCCCAGAAAAAAGGTCCCATAGATCTCAATGTAAACTAAAACAGCTCGACCTCAGCTGACAGAGAACCTACAGCTTTCATGAAGATCGGATTTTGTGGTGATTTTAGTGTCCCTTGTCATCCTGAACATAATTTCTTCTTAAAACCTTCAGTTTTCTTTAAATCTACACTTTAAAACAACAAAGTGTATCGCTCTGATCAGCAGCTCTGATTGGTCAAAGCACGGCCGAGCCCCTTTATGCACAGGCATGAGAGCCACACACGCGTATTTGGCACAATGCATCATGGGAGCTCATACACTGCACAGAACCGGGAGAACCAGACGATGCTAATTGTCCCTTGCGCTACTGAACACAAGCCCTTCATTTGAATAGGGCGCCATCTTGGATCACCGGGCTTGATTAAAACCTTGTGTATTCTTCACTTCCTGTTCTGTCATTGTCATTTCCTCGTCTGTTTTAGTTCAGTAAGTCCCTTTTTGGTTACTTTTTTTTATTTTTTATTCTACATATTGTTTTGTATTACATTTTATTAAATTCATATTTTAGTGCATTTTGGGTTTATTTAATTTGGAGGCGTGACACTTTGGGCTGAAAGCTGATTGGCTCAATAACGGTGATCCTCTCTTGTTTTGCTTTTTTGTCTGAGAAAGCTGATCTACAGATAGAACAGAAACCAAACAATACCTGCATGCAAAAAAACTATCTATACAAGCAAACTGTTTTAGAGCCAGGGACTAGTTGGATGCAGATTTGTGGTTAGGTCCCCCAGCTTTAAATTCAAAACATGTGCTCGTGTTACCTTGTGTGTTAATGAGGCGTAAAGGAGGTAGCCAGCCTGCGTGTGGACCAGTCCTTTAGGTTTCCCTGTGCTGCCCGACGTATAAAGCATAAATAAAACATCTTCACTGTCCATAACAGCTGGCTCACACACCACGTCCTCCTGCATCATCTCCTGCACACAATAAACAGCAAAACAACGGTAATAATGCGTAATAATAACATTGACGCTGATTGATTAATGAGAAAAGTAATTGGATTCATGTATGTATTGCCACCTCACCTCTTCCATAGCCACATCCCGGCTGTTCATGGCAACCGGAGTCTCTGTTCTCATAGCAACGAACACCTGTCGGACGTTTGGACAGGTTTCCACGGCCGCATCCACGGTTTTCTTCAGGTCCGTGGTCTTTCCGCCTCTGACGCCCTGGTTCACCGTGATCACTGTGCTGGAGTTGGCTGGCAAGATGAGATAAGACAAACTTTATGGATCTCACAATGGAAGAGAAATAAAAGAGTTGGCATTAGTGTTTGAAAGTCATTATAAACATCACTGTTATTTAGTTTAGTAGTATTTGTAATTTAGTGCAATATTATTATATTTGCATATTCATATTTAACAATGGCATGTGTAGAAGTGAGTTTGGCACAAGTCCTAATCATCTCATGTGCGACTCCTTTCCACACCAACCTTGACCTGCGTTGTGTTTCTTATGTGTGCTAATGGTTTGATTTACTTATTTGCTGTTGCTGAATTGACAATTTTGGGCACAACAAAAACACATTGAAATTAAACCAACAAACTCACAACAAGAAAAACTGTTTAAAATTACAACTTACATACTTACATTTTTATATTGCTCAAAATAGTCATTAAAAGCAACTTGAAGACTTCTCAAAGCTGGGGCACCTAACTATAATTTTCATAAATAATAAGTAGAATGTTGAGAACAAATCAGCCCACATCTATTAGAAAACATGGATTTATTACATATGTCATTTATGTTTTGAAAGTTAGATACTCCAGCTTTTAATGAACAGTACTCTATCTCTCTATTCATCGTTCCTTGCACAAACACATGTATTTTCGGGCAACACAGGGTTTCTAAGGCAGGCGTGTGGGACAAAGCTCTCGCACAACGCTGCCTCACCGTCTCTGATGCGCTCGGCCAAAGCGTCTGAGCTGAATCCCGCGAACACCACGTTATGAGCCGCTCCGATCCTCGCGCAGGCCAACATGGAGGCCACGGCCAGCGGACAGGGCGGCATGTAGAGGGTCACGCAGTCGCCTTTCTTCACCCCACGCCGTCTCAGGAGGTTACCGACTCGACACGTCATCTCCAGCAGCTCCCTGAACACACGACACACACACAATGCAGGAGGAAACAGGATTCATGTTGGATGTTATGAGCAGGATTTTTTTTTGTCATTTATGATTTAGGCGTCAGATCATGGAGCATCAATATTTGAAAGACTGAAAGCTGTGGTGTTAAGCGGCTCAGTCTGAGACACGTTTATAGTGTATCCATCCATGGGCTCTCTCCTTTACTGGATCTTTCTCTATAGTCAGAATGTGAGATATTTGTGTTGCCATTGTAAGTGTAGCAGGAAGTTACAAGCTAGGAATTTGGTATACAAACAAACAAGTAAAAAATAGACATAAAATTGCATGAAAATATATATAAATACACACAGTGGATTTCTCATTTACTGTGGGTCTTCTCAAGTGATATTTACCCCAAAGGGATTTTAAGGTTTGGGGTCCTCACTGAAGAACAAATTGACTTGTATCCATTCTCAGTTATCTGTCTGCTTGCATTCTTTAACCACCTGTAGGCGACTCTCATGTTCTACTTATGTTTAATCATGTGTTTTACCTTTTTTAAGTAATTAAAAATAAATTACTATATCTACTTTCTTCTAAAGCCCAGTGACACCATTTGTGTAATTGTGGTCTCTACAAAATAAACGCATTTGATAAACTAATGAAAGAATCTGATCTATTTCCCAATGCCTTTGTAGAGAAGTAATCCTGGATTAACAGCCGATACACACAGGATTTTAACTGTTTTCATTCAAAGGACTTACATAATCACAGTTTTTGCGTTTTGCTGCCACCACTACCGCTGCAGTTGTGAATGATTATTATTCAGATCACAATCATGCCCTTTTAGAACAGATGAAGAAAGACCTGTCATATCCAATAATCTATGGTCTCTTAATATGGCCATTTTGATGGACGGCATGGTGGCTGAGTGGTTAGCAGCAAGCTTCTCAGCAAGGAGGTCCTGGGTTCGATCCAACTCCAGACAGATTCTTTTGAGTGGAGTTGCATGTTCTGTGAAGGTTTCATGTACAATAGGTTCGATCCCTCGAGGCATTGAACCTATAGATCCCATTTACTAAAAGATGAATGTATATGTTGTGTTTTGTTATTCATGCTAATTCGACTGGTACAATTTTACACAATAGGAAACACATTTGACAAGTGTGAGCAGGCCTTTTGTGTGCACTGAATCTCAAGGTCCGGCTTTTTGTTGTCTTACTTTATAGGCCTTTTATGACTGCACTATCTCTGCTCTCAGCCCTTGGCCCCACACTCACCTGTAAGTGACTTTGACCTGGGACCCCGGCTCGTCTCTCTCCCAGATGAGGGCCACTCTGTCCGGACAGGTGAGCACATGGCGGTCCAAGCAGTTCACTGTCCAAACAAACCACACACTGTTTTACCTGTTTGTTGGTAAACACTTGTTTAGACCCATTTGGAACTACCTCAGAGACCTACCAAAAATACAGGCCTTCGTTCTATACTTAGAATTCACATCAGGGGTCCCTAAGTTTATTATAGACGGCTTAGAGAGATAGATGAATCATGCTCATGGTGTTCTGGTCAGTGTTCTGGAAATTGAAATGAAATAAAAAACACAACATGGCTTGGATGAAATGTAAGTATTTTAGTGAAACAAATAGAGAAGCCTATAGAGGGTTTTGATGTGTAAAGCTGGGGTACCTAACTTTCAAACCATGAAAATAGAAATATGTAATAACATCTAACTAACTAGTTCCTTGCTCACAAAACAGTTGGATTCTATCACTAGTTTGTTTTTTTCACCCTCTGTCACATCTTTAGATCAACTTTTTCAGACAGAAACTTGAAAAAGATATGTCGGGCGGCAGTAGCTCAGTTGGTAGAGCTTTGGCCTTTGAGCCAGAAGGTCGTGGGTTCAAGCCCCGCTCAAGACTTTCACCATCGACTCCCTCTGACTACTGTCGTTGTGTCCTTGGCAAGACACTTAACCTCTGGGAACACCAGCCACAGTGGGGCGGCTGCGGCTGTAAAGTGCCAAACTGCCGTTGTGTCCTTAGGCAAGACACTTCACCCCCATTGCCTAGAATGAGTCTGGTGTGTGTGTGAATGGTTGGTGGTGGTCGGAGGGGCCGATGGCGCATACTGGTTGCCTCGCTTCTGTCAGTGTGCCCCAGGGCAGCTGTGGCTACAGCAGTAGTTTATCACCACCGTGTATGGAGTGAATGAATAATGACACATGTGAAGCGTCTTTGAGTGTCCAGAAAAGCGCTATATAAAACCGATGCATTATTATTATTATTATTATGTCCACCCTCAATCAGATAATGAGATGACTGAGAGAGCTAGCTATGAGCTCTCTGAGTCGTGTTTACTAATAAGATCAAGACATCAAATCGTAATATTCCTGAAAATGTGAGACAGGATTCTTCTCACGCTGACAATGTTCAAAAAAATAAGTCAAAAATACAGTTCTGAAGGAATAGATCTTCACTCTTCTTAATTTACTGTGATAATTTATGATTTGAATGTCTTGTGTTTTTATCTTGTCTTGTGAAGCACTTTGAGTTGCCTTGTGTCTGAATTGTGTTAAATAAACTTGCCTTGCCTTTAGTCTTGATTTGTTCACACAATTTCACGTTTACAATCTTTCTGTGTGCACAAACAACTAGGCAAATAGCATTCATGAAAAATAAAAGTCAGGTACCCAAGTTTTAAGTTCGCACGTCTTATCAATATGGTAGATGCCCGTGTGTATATATGTATGCACCGCTTACCAGACACGTTGAGCTTTCCTCCCACAAACCACTTGACTTTGCCTCGCCTCAGGTCGCAGTCCTGCACGGTGGAGTACGCGCTGATCCAGGAGAGCCTGTTGTTGGCCATGGCTTCCCAAAAGCTGTCATTGTGCGTGAGGGAGAAGTCGTGGAGCGTTGCGCGGTCCCTGACTCCCTGAAACCCAGCGGCTTCGGGCATAACCACTCTCGCTCCCGAAGACGACGCATGGGGACGGGTCTGCTTTAGCGCACGGAAGGAAGGAAACAGCCGCCTTGACGTGCACCGCAGCCACATAATGTCAACAAAGCGTGTATCTCCTGCGATCTGGAGCTGGTGGAAGTTGTTAAAAAACTCCCTTATAGTCCAAACTATGAGAGAGGGAGAGGCAGAAGAAGAGGGGGGAGACGCGGGGGGGCGGGTTCCCACTCAGTGCCAGCCCTAGTTCTTCTCGCTTTACTGGAAACAGCGAAAGCAGAACGCGCACTTTTACGCAACAAGACTTTACAACTTTACGCAACAGCTTTCACTTTCCCCATCAGCGCGTCCACGTATTCTGCACGAGACGCTTTTTTAAATGTATAAATAAACATGGTGACGCACGGTATCTCGCATAACGCAGACTTGCCCAACCCCCAAAAAACTTCTGATATGGGAGGAAGAAAGTCACGTGGCACAAAGAATAGATTCGTTCCGGGCTATACACTTTTATTTTCCTGTATATATACACAATTGCAGGGAGACAAACACATATTTGATGAAGTACACAGTGATAAACATTGGTTTTATTTACATCATGTGCAACAAATGGCAGCTGAATACCATCAAGATATCCACCACATCTTGAACCATAGAGCAGTTTGTTTTTTTCCCCCAGGTATAAACAAACAGTAGTGCTTATAGGCTTCTTCCATGATTGTGTGGGCTCCGTTTGCCAGATATGTCCTTGTATTTTGCACCATCCAGCGTCCCTAATGAGGTTTCTTCACCTCTGTCTCGTCCTCCATCGCCTCCTCTGCGTCTGTGTGAGTTTTGTCTGTGACTTTTGACAGTATCTTGGCATTGTGCTCCAGTGCTTTGGCCCTGAGCACCGCTATACTGTTCTCTCTCATCTCCTCTTTGGAAAAGTCCAAGACTGTGTCCTGCGTCCACTTGTCATTGTCCTCCTGTGTTTGGTCCTGAGCCTGGTCCTCTGCAGGTGTTGGTATCATGCTGCAGGATTTGCTGGGAGAGGTGTCAGGGGACTCCACGGATTTCTTGTGCATACCTGAAAGAGCAGACGTAAAAAGCCACTTTGAATATTGCGTTTCAATTATTGTGCAATAAAGTGTAGTTCTGTCATAATACGTACACAACAGTTTTACGGTTTACATTCTAATATTGCAACATAATGGAAAATTTGGGTTTAAGGTTAAATTTTAATAGAGAGCTCAGGTTGTGTTATAACTACAGAATAATTGTTTTGACCTTTTCCAAGAACTCAAAATTAAACTAAAAACATACTTTTTGAAAACATTTAAAGCTGGAGTTGCTACCTATGAAACTACCAAAATAACTAATAACAAAATAGTAATAAAATCCATGCAACTCAAAACTGATCTGTTTCTAGCACTAGTTTTGACCTTTAACCTGTCACATCCTTAGCTCAGCTTCTACAGTGAAAAAGTGTCCAGCCGCCCCTCAGCCAATCAGCTCTCAGTATGTAAAAGATTACATTTATTTATGATACAAACAAGTTAGGTACTCCAGCTTTAAAGCAGAGCGTGTGTAGGTCTTCTCTCTCCGCTGTGAGCATAGAGAGTATATCGGTGAAGTGATCCTGACTCAGAGCAGACTAATTGATTTATACAAATCAATTGACATGTGGCAGAAAGATTTCTCCTAATCTGTCCTGATGAAGTGGGATTTACACACTATCGACTGTCACCTCTCATTGACCAGGGCACACTTTCATTGGCTCCTGACACACTTCCCTGAGCCCCAAAAGTGCACTAAGGCATTCTCTCTTGGTCTGGTTCACTTTAACAGGACCAGTTTTGGTTCACTTTAACAGGACCAGTTCTGGTTCACTTTAACAGGACCAGTTTTGGTTCACTTTAACAGGACCAGTTCTGGTTCACTTTAACAGGACCAGTTCTGGTTCATTTTAACAGGACCAGTTCTGGTTTACTTTTACAGGACCAGGTCTGGTTCACCTGTGTCAGAAATGCATTCATTGTTTATGTAAAAACACCAAACAAGTGAATGTGTGTCCACCGTTATTATAATAGATCCATGGTGTCCACTTGTCACTTAAGTCAGTCTATACCAGGGATGTCCAAACTGAGGCCCTCATGCAAAATGCGGCCCACTGTGTCATGTTATGTGGTCCTATGTCACAAACACAAAGTACCCATTGAGGTACTTTCAAGGTGTCATCCAGCCAACTTCAGCTCCACGAATATAGTCTTTGTAAAGTCCATATATGGCACTTTTGGTAAAAACTGTTTTTCTATCTGTGCTCTCTGGGCCCTGGACAGGTCTGGTGAAGTAAAGTAGCCCTCTTATGACTCACTGGTATTCGTCTTATGAAACAGATCTGTGAAGCGTTTCCCCCCCCAAGTGAACCAGACTTAATCCAGCTAAACCGGACCAACAAGTGGGTAGCTAACTCGCTTCAGAGTGGTTCAGAACCAGGGAAGCTTGTGAACTCTGTGACATACATACCAGGATTTCATGTCACAATATTTAAAATCGTACACTTTATTTGAATGTTTTAGATAAAGAGACAGCAAGTACCTAATAACCACGGTGCGTATGACTCCGTGACGCCGTCTTTTGCCGACTTCAGGATGGACTCCGGGAGTGGGATGGAATGACGGACCATAGCGCCGTAAAGACCGTACTCCGCCATGACACTACTGCGGCCCCAGCACTTCTCTCTCTTCCTCCATTTGGCTCTGCGATTCTGGAACCACACCTGCACACAGACAAACACAAGATGCATTTTGTGAGTTTGACCTGTCAGAGTTTGATCTATATTTCTGTGGAGTTCCTTTGCTCCATGAAACTGGAATCACTTTTCATTACAGTGGTGCAATGACATCTACTGGACAGCCAGAATATGTCTGTACTCCACTGGGTATTAACAAGTTGCTTATAGATGCACTAGTTTTAGCACTTTTTTCAAGCCTGATTAAACAAACATATTATTAGATTTCCTGAGTCTGTAATACAGTTTAATTGAATTAATGCATTTTTTGAGGGTCTAGATGATTTTTCTGTGGCAATACCATAACATAAATGTCAGTAATATAATAATAATACATCAGTTTTATATAGCGCTTTTTTGGACACTCAAAGACGCTTTACATGTGTCATTATTCATTCACTCCATACACGGTGGTGATAAACTACTACTGTAGCCACAGCTGCCCTGGGGCACACTGACAGAAGCGAGGCAACCAGATGGCGCATCGGCCCCTCCGACCACCACCAACCACACGCACACACACACTAGACTCATTTTAGGCAATGGGGGTGAAGTGTCTTGCCTAAGGACACAACAGCAGTTTGGCACTTTACAGCCACAGCCGCCCCACTGTGGCACCTGGTGTTCCCAGAGATTAAGTGTCTTGCCAAGGACACAACGACAGCACACATCAGTGGGAGTCGGTGGAGAAAGTCTTGTGGTGGGCTCGAACGCACGACCTTCGACTGTAGACTCTTTGCTTTTAGAAACACTCCACCATCTCCTGTAGAACTTTTTCTAGACTGAAAGGTTCCAGTATAACATGCATATGGAGCTGATTTTGAGTGAAAATAAAGAAACAAAAAAAAGAAAGACTAAAAAGAATACAGCAGTGGATATTATTTTTAGTCTGAATACAAGTAGCTAAATAATGTCAGTAAAATGGTTGATGATATTGTTAACACTTTTTTCAGTTTAAGATCTTGTAGCAGTTATAGGAAAGTTGGTATTAAACTTGAGTGAATCTTATTACAGGGTCATAACCACTACTCTGTATGTGTGTGTGTGTGTGGGTGTGTGTGTGTGTGTGTGTGGGTGTGTGTGCTCCTTGTGTAGAGCTAAATTGATTTGCCAGACCTTGTAACACCCTCCGCCAAATCGTGAATATGGATGAGGCCAAGAGGAAAAATGAGCATCCTAAAATGGCGGAGGAGGCAGGGTGAGATTGCTGGGATTGGTTCCTGTGCGTGTGTGTGCGTGTGTGTGTGTGTGTGGAATTAAAAACACTCGGTAGCAGAAAAGCCATTCAGGTACACCGCTCTGATGATAACCTCCATCTCATAAAAAGATGGGCCTCAGATGAGCAATCATGCTTTGTGACAGTGCAGCGTGAGTGAGTGGTGACCCCCGGGGCAAAGAGGCTGATTGAAAAATAAGTTAATTTCCAGAGCTGATCGATGAGAGACAGGTGGCGAAATACCACGGGAAATTAAACCGCTCGGACCTGCGCTAATTCATTCTGTGCTTATTCTGTAGGAGAGCAGGCAAAAGTTCTCTACAATGAACTAATTACATAGACTTAAGCAGTTTGTCTTCGTGGGAGGCATTTCTGTGGACTGTGTTTTTTCAACCAGTGTGCCTTCAGATGTTGTTTGGTGTGTATCATCTAATTGGTCAATATAATGTGAAAATAAAATAATGTGAGAGGATTGGAAAGAGATTTTTGCTTTGTTTGATTTTCTGAAAGAGAAGAGATTGACTTTGCAGTGTTGATAAAGGCTGCAGAGTATAGTTTCTGTATCAGTATCAGCTGGTGTGTGCCAAAAAATTCTTGATAATGAAAATTGCCACAGCTTATAAAGGTTGGGGAACTACTGTCATGCAATTCTCTAAATCAAGTAAAAGACTGCTGTTGTATAAGTCATAATAGGTTATTTTACGATCAATCAATCAATGTAAATATGGCTATCACTTAACTGTTTTTTTATCTTTATTTCTTATTAACCTATTCCTCTGTAAAACGGCTTTGATTGTCCAAAAAGCGCTGTATAATTTCTTTGTATTATTATTATTATTATTATTATTATTATAAATGTATATTATTATTATTGATAGAGTATTATTGTTAATGCAAGCTCAGCTATCAGGCCTGATCTTTAACAGAAAATAGCATCTGTTGCTTTTGTCTCAGTTTAATTAGGTAATTTGTGAGAAAATCCATATTCTTTCAATGTTTTAATTTAATAAATGTCCTGTTAGGAGGCAGGAAACCTCCTCTAACTTTGTTCAATATTTAATACTTTTTGTGAATTTGAGCAAGTGAGTTTTTCAGAGATTCCTTGTGTGAGCCACACCAATGAAGTATTTATTACACAGAGGAAACTGATGGAAAACTAAGTGAATGACATAAAACCAATACATTTGTTTTTATAATTCTAAGCTGTGTTTGGATGTGAGCCCCACCTGGATGCGGTCCTCTGGCAGCTCTGTCTTCATGGAAAGCATCTCTCGAGCATAAACGTCGGGATAGTGGGCTTCATTAAAGGCTTTCTCCAGTTCCTCCAGCTGGTAGGACGTGAAAATGGTCCTGCAATCAGAAAAGTCACATTTTATAATTAGTATTATTTCTTGGAATAAGATGGGAACAATATTAGTTTTTGCATTATTTTATCATTTACCTGTGTCGTCTTTTCTTTCGTTTCTTGCTCTGACTCAGCGATGAATTAAACTTCTTATCCCCTGAGATGCTCATGTCATCCGAATCTGTGCACACAGAGATAAAACAGAAGAAGTTTAAAAGGGGAAGGAGAAAATCCATATTCCGTATTATGTGCGTATTTTTATAGATATGCACATTAGGCTGTACACTAAAGGCCTTCATATAAAAACAGAAGAAGGCCCTTTTGTCCATGGACTGAATGCAATGATGCAGCATAACCCGAAGATGTGAGCAAAATATTTGGATCACTTTTCATTTTCCCGCGAGAACAGATGTGTAAGATGCCCGAGCTCTTTTTTTTGTTTAGATTTTTGTTTGGTTTTAACTCATAGCAGCACAGGGAAAGGCCCGTCACAGTAAAGACACTGACCGGAGCTGGAAGAGCGCGGGTCCAGGTGCGCGTCCACGTGCGCGTCTCTGTGCAGCGGCGGCAGGTGCACGTGCTGAGCCTCGAGGAACGTGGGCTGACGGTAAAACGCGTGGATTCCTCCGTCGGGCCCCAGCAGCAACGGCCCGGGGCCCAGAGGCCCGCGCGTCACCAGTGCGTGAGCTCTGTGCGGGAGAGCCTCGAGGGGCCGCCGCGGGACACTCTCCTTGTTGAGACCCAGCAGCTCCTGGATCCCGAAACCCGTGCGTCTGGGCACCGCGGGCCCAAGCTTCCAGGCCACAGGCTGCTGCCCCGTGTGCGCCATGATCCCGCAGCGCTCCTTGTTCTCCGAGTCCGACAGTACGGCTCCATCTTTCCCCGTCATCCTGGACTGTGCGCAGTGAGAGCAGCAGAGCAGACTTCACTTCAGAGCGGACAAGTCCAAAGCTGAGCTGGGGCTGGTGTCCGTGAGTCTCTCCCCTCTGGCTTTTATTCAACAGGCGTCAGGCGGCAGCCAATCACAGCCCGAGGCGCGCCAACTTCAGCAGCCACCACAGCTCATCATCTGCGTTCGGCCAAACCACTCGGGTAGAACACTTTCTTTATTGAATAATATTTAGCTATCGATAAGTCTAGTTCATTATTCATCAACTCTGTATGTTCTGATCATGCCACCGGCCTGGTAAATCAAATCCATTTTGCCTGAGGCAACATCTTTCTTTTCTTAAGTTATAGAGCCTACGGGGGAAAACACAAGGAACGGATTGGACCTGAACATGAAACACGAAAAGGCTACTTCCCAATATCAATACAAACGGGCAAACATCTCACAGCCTGTTGACACTTGTGAGTTATAACTTAAATCAATACAAAGGAGTCTGCTCGACTGCAGCGCCGTGATTGGTCAGTGGATCGATCCGTTAGACCTGGTACAGTGCCCACTGACCTCTCTCTCTCCCACACACACACGCACACACACACGTACACGCACACACACACACCCACACACATGCAGTCATTTACATATTCTAATTAGGCTGCATGTTTTGTCTCCAGACTCTCGCATCTGTTGATAGTTATTAAGCTTCTTTATGATAATTCACAATATGTGTGGAGTACAATGTCCTACTTTTCTGTATTTAGGGCACATTAGGGGCAATTAAGCACCAGACAAATATCACACGAACGCGACTAAACGACACGGGACATTGTTTTGACTACTTAAGTTATAGGCCTAGAGCTTATGAAATGGTGCCATTTGGTTATCTTAATTAATTATTTTAACACCAGAATAGACCTATAGCCTATTCTTCATTTGTAACACTGCGTATATGCTGCTGATAGAGTGAGCAGACATATATCATAAAGTAAGACAAAAAAATCTCAAATAAACAATGACGGACGCCAAGGGAAATCAACTGGTTCTGGTTTGGCGCTATAATTTAAGATCACTTAATTTCAACAACACGGCTGCTTTCTTCGATCCCAGCGTCCTCTAATCAGCCATTAATGCATCAGTGTTGTGTTAAAATCATTAGGGGATCATTTAGGGCGCTCTCTCTATTGGCCTGGACATGAGGACGCACAGGGGAAAGGAAGAGTTTATGAGATGAGACGCAGAGATATGCCCCGGGGCGGCAGCAGCAGAAGCAGGGAGGGGAGGAGGGTGGAGGTGCGGGTGTGAGAGGAGCAGGTCACAGCGGGTTTGAAGCCCTATCTCGGATCAGATCGAGGGGTAAAGCGTGCCACGTCACTCAAGCGGCCTTTGTTGTTTGCAGCAAAAATGCACTGAGAGCCGCGTGCGCCATACGGGACGTCGCCAGACCGCGTGCAGGGGAGGAATAATAAAAGAAGAGGCTAATAAATAAAATTAGTAATTACTATACACTCAGTATTATTTGGTCGCCTTACTGCACTGTCTACTGTCTACTGTGTGTATTTATTGCACGCGTAGTTTAAAGAAATGTTTAGAGATATTTTTTTAGAAATGCTATGATTGGAGATTTTTAAAATGTTTTCAATGCATGCCCTTACCTTTTACTCTTACGACTTGTTTTCACATGGAGTCAAAACAAATTCCTGTTGCTTCTGATTCTGAAAATTAGAACAACTTTATTTCCTCTCCTCGTAGTAGAAGATGAGAGCGCTACAAAATTCGAAACACGAAGCAACTGGAATTTTGTTTTGACCTTCATGTGAAAACACAGTAGTAAGAGTACAAGTCTAGGCTATGCATTGAACCATTTTTAAAATCTACTACTCCTCTCAGCCAATTTCTAAAATATCTCTAAACATTGCATTAAACTACGCAGTGCAATAAATCCCTCTCAGTGACGTCAGAACAGTGACAGTAGCGACCCAATCAACTGAGTGAATACGTACATTACTAATTTTATATATTAGCTTTCTTTTTTTCTTCTCCTGCCACGCCGTGGTTTAGCGGGGACGTCGTAAGGCGCAAGTAAGGATCCTCGTGATTTTTATGTTGTAAACCAACGGCACCGTGAGTGAGAGTGGCACGCTTTACCCTCGAACTGATCCGAGATAGGGTTCCAACCCTCCTGTGACCTGTCATCTCACACCCGACGACTCACCTTCCCTCCCTGCTTCTGCAGTGCCGCCCGGGGCATAATCTCTGCCGCTCTCATCTCATATCTCTCTCTTTTTACCCTGTCGCGTCCTATTGTAAAGGCCAATAGAGAGAGCGCCTAATGATCCTATGATTTAACAAACCACACTGGACAGCATTAATGGCTGAGCTAGTAGCGTGCTGGGATCGATAAGATTAGACTTTAAGCAGCTGTGTTGAAGAACTTCTATCGTGATACTTACCAATCATAGCCGCCAATACATGAACAGTTGGTTCCTTGGCGTCGTCACTAGTTTATTGAGGTTTTTTTTTTTTCTTACGCTTATAGATATATGTCCCCATGCTCACTCCCTTATCAAGCTGAATATCGACAGTGTTGGTCACATCCATGAAGAACTAGGTATTGTTTATTTGTGTCTAACCTAATTTAAGTATCATAACTCATTATAGGACCATATCATAGCTCCTACGAGTATACAACTAAGGTAGTAAAACAAAAGATTCCCGTGTCGTACTCAGTCGCGTCTTTCGTGATGATACTCTTGTCTCGTCGTGAGTGCTACCTTGCCTAATGTGCCCTCAAATACAGATAAAGTAGGACATTGTACTCACATTTTTGTGAATTATCTTATAAGAATCTTAATAATATCACATCTGCTGAGAGTTGGAGACCAAAACTGCAGCCCCTTCCTTTAGAATACTGTAAGATTGGATGATGTGTGGTGGGTGTGCTTTGCTCGTGCGTGTAGTGTTCCTTATCCTTGCCTCCGCCTAGCCTTGTGTGTGCTGTTTGAGTGTCGCGTCGAGAGTGCAGAGGTCAGTTAGGATCTGTCTACCAGGTTCTAACGTCGATCACTGGACCAATCAACGGCGCAATGGAAGTCGAGCAGTCTCCTTTGTATTGCTTTCTAGTTTATAGAACAAGTGTCCCCACTGGACAGTGTCGAGATGCTCCCCCCCCCCACCCCCCCCCTTGCCCGCTTTGTATTGCATATTGGGATATAGTAGCCTTTCGTGTTTTCCATGTTAGGTCCAATCCGTTCTTGTGTTTCTACACAGTAGGCTCGCTCTACACTTAAGAAAAGAAAACCGATGTTGCCTCTGGCAAAATGATTTGACTCTTAACCAGGACCGGTGGCAACTGATCTCGAATACCTACAGCGTTGCTGAATCCTGAACTCAGACTAATACGACTCAGATAATTATTATCTCACAACCTAACGAACCAGTGTTCTACGATAAGTGGTTTGGCGAACGAGATCTGATGAGCTTTGCGGCGGCTGTGCAGTTCGGGCGCGCTCGGCGCTGTGATGGCTGCCGCTGACGCTGTTGAATAAAAGCACGCAGGGGTGAGACGCCACGGCAAACAGCACACCTACCGCTCTGCTTTGGTAATTGTCAGTCTGAAGTGAAGTAACTGCCGCTTGTGCTCTCACTTGCGAACACGGCTCGGATGAGGGGCACGATCGGGGCGTACTGTAGGCCGTGAGACACTAGGAGCACGACCTGCGGGATCATGGGCAACTCCGGGGCAGTGCTGTGGCTGGAAGCTCCTGGGCCGCGGTGACCAGAGCAACGGGGCTATCGGGCCTCAGGAGTGTCTGGGTCTCAACAAGGAGCGTGTCCGCGGCGCGGCCCATCGGAGGACTCTCCGCTCCAGAAGCTCGTCCGAAAATGGTGTTGACGCGCGGGCTCTGGACCGGGCGTTGTGCTGCTGGGGCCCGCACCGGAGGAATCAACGCGTTCATACTTCAGGCCAGTTCCACGAGCTCACATCGCAGCTGCACCTGCAGTCCAGTGAACAGAGACACGCGCAACGTGGACGCGCGCACTGGACACGCGTCCCACAGATCCGGTCCAGTGTCTTTTACAGTGACGGGCCTTTCTGTGCTGATATGAGTTAAAACAACAACACAATTAATAATACATAAAATAAGAGCTCGGGTAATCTTACCTCTCTGTTCTCGCGGGAACTCGAAAAGTGATACAAATATTTTGTCACATATCCTGTGGGTTGCTGCATATTGCAACTTCAGTCCTGGAACAAAAGGCCGCATTTTCTGGCCGTTTGTATATGAAGGCCTTTAGTGTCAGCCTCAATGTTGACTTATCTATATAAAATAACGCCATTATTCGGAATATGCGCTTTTCTCTCTTCCCACTTTTAAACTTTTGTTTTATCTTTGCGCCGCAGAAACAGTTTCGGATGAAATGAGAATTCAGAGGGGATATAAGAAGTTTAATTCACTAGCTGAGTAAGAGCCACTGAAACCGACTAAGAATGACGACACATCCAGGTAAATGACGAACCATATGCAAATAATTCTCCGTTCCCTTATTACATGACTATTAATATAATTATCAAACAGTGAATTTTCTGATTGCAGGACATTTTACGTCTACCCAGTGGACAGGGTACTGGCGAAAGCATAAGGAAGCCACTACACGACGTTCATGCTCGTGAGATGCTTGCCTCATGAGACCGAGCTTAAGAGGAGCTCTCCCGGTCGGGCTCAAAATCATCACACACGTTCGATCTTATAAAACATCACAAATGTATTGGATTTCTGTCGTCAATCGTTTACCCCATAAGTTTTTCGGTGTCCATAAATACTTCCTAGGTGTGCGTCACACATCGGCAATCCTATGAAAAAAATACACTTGCTCAACCTTTCACAAAAAAGTATTATATTGCAAACAAGTTAGAGGAGGTTTCACTTCTCTACAGGACCATCTTCATTAACACTTCATACATTGTACCAACGAATTGGGATGTTCTCACAAATTTACTAATTATTGGAGACGCCAAAAGCAACAGATGCTATTTTTGTCTCAAGATCAGGCCACCTGATAGAGAGTTGCAAAATACAATAATCTCTACTCAATCTATAATTCAATATATAATAATAATATTAATAATATAATAATACCAAGAAATTATAAGGCATTTTGGGACAATCTACCGCCCGTTTTATCTGGTCGGAATCGGTAATAAGACCTAAAGATAACACACAAAGTTTAAGTGATAGCCTAGTTCCATTGCTTGATGATCGTAACAATCACTCTTCTGACTTAAACAAGCCGTGTTTATTGAATTAGGCAATGCATGACCAGTAGTTTCCCCAACTACCATTTATAGTGATGGCACATTTTATTTTCAAGAATTTTTTGGCAACAAGTGATTCTGATAAGCCATCTCATAACTGACCGCCTTTCCTCTCAACACTGCCACAGGTCAATCTTCATCTACAATTCCGAACTCAAAACAAAGCAAAATATTCTTTAATCTTCACATTACTTTTATATACCTATCTATTGACCACTAGAACGATACACAACAAACATATACCCATTCTGAAGGCCACATGGTTGAAAACACAGGACACAGCCAAGTCCCACGAAGACAAAACAGCTTAAGTCTATGTATATAGTAATTTCGCTAGAGAACACTTTTGATGTCTCTTCCGCCTCAAGTCCAGAATGACTTAGCGAAGGTCCGAGCGGGTAATCTTACCTTGGTACTTAGACACTGTCCTCCTCACTCCGATCAGTCTGAATTAATTATTTTTCAATGCCCTCTCTGCCCTCCGGGCGGTCACCACTCATCACGCCTGCACTGTAAACACAAGCCCGGAATTGTCATCTGAGGCCATCTTTTTATGAGAGGGAGGTTATCATCAGCACGTGGCTGTAACTGAATGGCTTTTTCGCTACGCGCAGTCTTTTAATTCCACACACAAACAAGCACACACAGGAACAGGAACATCCGCCATCTCACTGCCATCCTCGCCATTTTAGCGATGACTCCATCATCTTTATAGGCACTCATACTATTCCGAGCTGGGGAGGGGCGATTCACCCAGGTCTGGAAATCAATTTAGCTACTACACAAGTAGACAACACCACAACAAACCCAAACCACTCAAACAAACACACATCACACACACTACAGCGAGTAGTGGTAATATACTGTAACACAGATTCGTCCAGTTTACTACCACTCCTTCTACCATATCTGCACTCTCCACACGATCTAATGCACAAATAAGTGCTCGTCGCATACAACATCATCACCCATTTCTACTGACACTTAATAAGTCTTCGTACTTAAGAACTATAAAATAATATCCACAATGCTCGATCTTCTTAGTAGCTCTTTATTCTTTGGCGCTTCTTTATATTCATGTTAAATCGCAATATATGCATTTTATACTGAATTCAGTCTAGAACAAGTTTCGGGAGCTGTAGGCGTGTTTTAAACGCAAGTCGCATCTCACAGACTCGAGGTCGTGCGTTCGCGACACTCAAGACCCTTTCTCACCGAATCCATGATGTGAGCTGTCGTTGTGTCTTTGGCAGCAACATTAATACATATTGGAACCCAGGCTGCCAACCACGCTGGGGGGCTGTATGAGTTGTCAAGTCCACTGTGTAGTGTCACTCTGGCAATACACATGAACCATTGATACAAATGCAGTCTAGTGCTCGTCACTTTCGTGTGGTTGGTCCGGCTGGTCGGTCACCTGGCGGCAGTCTTCGCATTCGGATGCCCCATATCGCTTCTGTGGTTCTGTCCAGTGGTGACAGG